GCCCCAGGGTCAGGGGTTCTGGTGTTAGGGCGGGGCTCTATTGCCCAGATAGCATGACTACGTTGGGCCAACATTGGTAAATAGTTGTATGGTTGGCGTTGGGTGGACAACGTTGGGCCAATTTCGGACCAATGTAACCATGTCAACCTTCTTGATCATGTTGGGATTCCTATGTTGGCCCAACGTTGGTCCAACCTAACCAACTTCTATATTCGCTCAACTTTTAAAGGGAAGTAGGATTCTAGCCCGATGTTAGCATGTATAAGTGTTTCAAGATGGGATATTTATATTGGGCCAATGTTGGCCCAATTATTGTATTGCCAACTAAATGATGGTGTCCATGTAAGCTGATGAGCGTTACGTTGGGCCAGCGTTGGTTGCAAGTTCTTAAACCGTTATGTTCCCAATGTTGTCCCATTGAACTGTTGTGTTGCAAGCTTATTTGATTGCAAAACATTAATTTAGATGCACATTCTGAAATAATAGAGGGTATTCGCTGTCCTTGCTTTTAATTGGATGACTGCATCTGTTTAGATCTGATATTTTCACCATTCTTATCTTTGAACTAAAGTGATCACAGCACCAAAAAGTTTTTTGTCCTGTTTTTTTTTTTTTAAGTAGGTGCATGATTATTTATTAGTTTTAAAATCCTTAGCTCTAAATTATGAATTATTTCATGAGCGTTGTATTCATGAGAATAAGAGAAGACTGAATAACATTTAAAAAGTTCCCAAGAACAGGATGTGAATGAAGCCTACATATACATAAGTCAAGATAACACAGCTTTATAATGAAATTGAAACAAAAGTTAGGCGTTCGCTAAAGCTTGGAGAGTCGCGGCGATTAAAACACCAAACTGTTGGGTGAGCTGTCAGATTCAATTGCTCACAGGTGGGCGATAGACAAGAAGGGAGATTTAAAAACTATGGATTATACCATTGTTACAGCTGCATCTTAGAAGCGATGTAAGTATAATTATTAGTCCCCTACCGGTGAAACCGGAGGGGACTATAGGTTTCCTCTGAGTCTGTCCGTCCGTCTGTCTGTCCGTCTGTCTGTCTGTCTGTCTGTCAGTCTGTCCCACTTGGTTTTCCGCACTTTTTTCCTAAACGCTTGCAGATATTGAGCTGATTTTTGGTATGTGAGTGTATCTTGATGAGTTACAGATCAAGTTTGCATTTCGTTCCGCTTCATTGATTTTTGACGGAATTACGATCTTTTCAATTTTTACGGGTTTTCCGCGATTTTCTTCTAAACGCTTGTAGATATTGAGCTGATTTTTGGTATGTGGCTTTACCTTGATGAGTTATAGAACAAGTTTGCATTTCGTCCCGCTTCATTAATTTTTGACGGAATTATGGCGTTTTCAATTCTTAACGGGAACCAGATTACACTTGCCGGTAGGGGACTAGTATTGCTAATGCAATACTCTCAGAATGCTTGTTCTTATTAATTCAACTTTACTGTTAAAATTGTTCGGAATTCATCCTTTTCTTGTTTATGCTCACAAGCAGTATATAAGTTAATGTAAATATGAATTATATATGTGTATACAGTTGGCACATACATGTACTTTAAACTTTTATTTACAGTAATTTCTAGTGCTCATTAAGAAATACAATAATAAGTAAGGTAAAAAACATCTTTCAACTTGTCTCCATCTATTGTCTATTGTGTACACGATTATGATTTTAACAAGGATACTAAGGTTTATAGATCAACATGTACTAGTAGTATTTTACATCGTTGTCTTTAAAAGACTTAATTACATGATTTATATATTGGAGTCTGTACGTATTTGCTTTGTTTCTAATACCAAATTATTTGTATTTTCAATCAGAGACTGTAAGGAAAACAAATGTTGTAGCGGTAACTGACAATGAAACTGAAGAACATAAAGGACTGTGTGAAGTACGTATGCCTAAGATCAAGACGGAGGCCTGGGGAGGCGACAACGGGAGGAAAAAAGAAAAAGCGGGAAACAAAACAAAAGGACAGTGATAGAGGAAGTGAGCCAGGATTAAGAACTTTAAATTAATATTTTTTCATACATTTCCACCAATATCTATTTTAAAAGTAATTTTGTAAATTCTGATTGAATTGATATATATCTATAAAATAATTTTACAGTGAATCACTTGTAATGTTTTCTTTGAACGTGTATGCATTATGAATGCAGGTTGAAGTGTGTATTATTTTTTTTAAACAATTATGAGAAAGGTCTATATAAAGAATTATTTATAAATGTATTTTCAAGAAGTATTCATTCAATTTATTTAAACAGATGTAAGTTTCATCCAACAATTGGCCAACAGAAAGAAGATTAAGGCCAATAAACCGTAAATATCGGACCAATCATTCAATGAAGGGTCAACGTTGGGCCAACCTAACTAACCGATTGCAAATGTTGTTTCTGTGTTGGCTGTTAGTTGGCTTACTATAATAACTACGTTGGCCCAACAATATGCCATCTGACATTTCAACAAAGGCCCAACATTGGGCCAACCTAACCAACCAGTTGTTAAGGTTGGCTGTTAGTTGGCTTACAATTATACCTACGTTGGCCCAACAATATGCCATCATGTTGGACCAACATTGGGCCGATGAGCAAAATGACCGTAGGCCAACGTAGGATTACGAACAATGGGCCAACGTTGGAAAAAAAATTGGGCCAACGTTGGCCCAACAATGTCTTAACGTTGGCCCAACAATATCTTGCTATCTGGGTTGATTATATAGTGAAAATGCATTGATTCTTTGAAAATCTTCTTCTCTGCTACTGGAGATTATCTAAACAAACTAAGTGGATGATTATGATAGGCAAGGATGTCTCTTCCAAAATTTTTAAATATATGGCCTCGGTTTTTGGGGTTCTTGAGGAATGGGGGGGGGGGGGGGGCTCTATTGATTATATAGTGAAAAAGCATTAATTCTATTAATTAATCATTAATTAATCCTGTCTGCTCCTTAGCATTGAGCTGATAAATAAATTGCTTAGCTATGATGAAAATGGGAGCTTCGAACAGAATTTTTAAATCTTGTGGTCCTAGAGTCAGGGGTTCTGGCATAACGAGGAAGGGGGGGGGGGCTTTTGACAATATAGTGGAAAAGTGTTAATTCTTTGAAGTCCATAGTTATGATGATGAGGGTAACTCTTCCAAATTTCTAAATTTCTTGACCCTTGGTCTTGGGTTCTGCTTTGTTGAATCTGTAGTGAAAATGCATTGTACCTGTGAAATTCTTCTCTGCTTCTGGGCATATCGAGAGAAAACTGAGTAAAAGTTTAAATGATATAAGTAAGCGTATTTCTACCAGATTTTTGAACATCTGGACCATTTGTCTAAGCATTCTAGTCCTGGGCAGGGCTCTATTAATTTGTATTCTACTGAGAGAAGTTATTCCCCTTTTCCATTCACCTTTGATAATTAATCACTGTAAATAATGTATTTGAAAGGTTAATAGAATAAGATAATTATGCAAGAATGTTTATCATATAATTCAAAAAGTATTTTCTTAGTTTTAATAATCAGGTAGACCTGTAAGTAATAGATAAATAAAAATGAGACAAAAATAACTTATCTTATTAAAAGTTCTTCAAAGACCATAAGAGAGGTCAATGCTAGAGGTCTTAATATGGGTTTAAAAATAGTACAGAAGTACTGATAGTTTGTTAATAGCCTGCATGGTGATAGTGTTAAGTGGGGGACAGTTTAGAACTTAATTTATGAGTTGATACGGAATACTAGACTAATTATTTTGTTGATCCTGATCTTCCTACCTCTCTTGCTTTAGGGCAACAAAGCTTCATCTATCAGTGTATTTAACTTCTAAATTGTTGTATTATACTTAGGTGACCGTCAAGGCCCTTGGGCCTCTTGTTTAAAAAGCTATACTTGTATAGTTTAAACCTTTTTTTTTCAAATATGAAATAGAAACAATAAAAATTAAAAATGTACACACATTATTCATTAAAATTACACCGAAATATTTATTTTTGGAACATTTGAAATTAAATCTCCATCTGTAATTTTCAATCACTTCCACTGATAAATTAGTAGAATATTAAGAAATTCCACGAACTTTTGGATCAACCCTCGTACATATGTTTATTTATTATTGATACATACCTTTAATTTCATACATTCTTTCAACAGCTGAATTTGGGTCATTCTGGTGATTTTTAGTAAGTTAATCTATATATATTTGGATAGACGTGCTTCCATCCATCGGCGTCCGTTGAGCAAGAAAAGTCGGATATTTGTAGTTCAAATTCTCTCTTCCGTGCCTCCCGAAATGCAACATAATATCCACGAAAACTTTGCTCTGTAGAGATTCATGATTGGTTAAATCAATGGCATTGTACAATTTTTCTAGATCTGCTGTTTCGATCAAGAGGCGGATGATGGTCAAGCCCTCTTTCCCCTGAGTTTTTAATCGTGGTCATGAATACTTTCGATGCAATTTGTAAATTCTACACCAGGGATAATATCAAAATTTTTCAACATTACTTTCATTTAACATGTTTAAGGGTTTGTAGTTCCATAACTTGTCCCCCCCCCCCCCCACACACACTTAATTTTTAAAAATAAATTAATACAGTCACTGCATTTTGTTGAGAAAACGGCAATATTCCTATTTATTTCAACACTTTTCAGAAGAGACGCATGACATGATGTTTTAAATCGTTCCAGAAGACTATGTTACAAATGTACAGTTCCTGATGCAACCCGTCCCGTCTAAGAGATGTATTTTTTTCATACAATTATAACGATGGTGCTCTCTATTCGTTTTCTGAGATTTTTTGGGTACTTGTATATCAAAAATAGTGTCTAGGTGAAAGAGGGAAAAAGAATAATAATATTAGCCACTGTAGTAGGCTCAACAATTCAGTACTTAATAATTTTCTTTGTTAATTCTCGTGTGAAAAAACTTGGTGCTGCATCGCTCGGGTTCGTTTATCATCTAAATCATAACCGATAAATTGAAATTTGAGACTTCCTGCCATGTGGAATAGAGCGGAGGTTCTTTTTGACAGACGATGTAGATGTAAGTTTACTTTCTTTACGTTGTATAAATAAAGAAATTATGAAAACACCTAATGATAAATTACTTAAAGATAAGAAAAATAGAAAAATGCTTTTTTTGTTTGCACGGAATTTAAAGTTGCAGAAAATGGGGCATACATAACGCAGGGTGTCCAGTCACTTCGTACACAAACCGAGTCGTACACAAACCAACTCGTATACAAAAAGTCAACTCGTACACAAAAACCAGAAGTCAACTCGTACACAACATTTATATACAATCGTTATGATTTAATTTTATACAAATAAGGTTTGATAACACGAAGTGTTACTTTTCTTTAAGTTTTTTAAGTTTTTTTCCCCTAAATATTTAAATAATTCAACTTCCCTGAGCTGATAGGATAGGAACATCAAAGACATCAAAGAAGTATTGTTAAACCAACACCTTTTCATTTAAATAAGTTTAAATAAGTGCAAGAAAAATGTGTTATACAGTATACCATTAAATTCTTACCATGTATTTAGATCGAATTTACTATCTACACTATATATCTATTTAACATAATAAATTAGGATGCTATAAAATATTATATTCTACATCAACATGCATTACTTGCATAACAGAAAACTTTTTAGAAATATAAAAACTACGTATATCAATTCCGTTGACAATTAGAAATCAATTGGAAATTCAGAGGCATAAACTAGTTAAAAATGTACAGAAAACACATTTGTGTACGAGTTGACTTCTCAATTTTTTTGGAAACTATGGCAAATATTACCTTAAATCACATAGGAAAACGTATGTATGAGTTGTGTACGAGTTGACTTCTGGTTTGTATACGAGTTGACTTTTTTTTGTGTACGAGTTGACTTTTTGTATACGAGTTGGTTTGTGTACGACTCGGTTTGTGTACGAAGTGACTGTAAATCTAACGCAGGTATATGTATTTATTCTGCAACATTCCCGTACTAACCAGCTGCTACAATCAGTGCATAACTAACTCGATTTAGCTACGTAGCTTGAATTACCTACAAAGCTTTATTTACTTACTCGAAGTAGCTTTATTAAGCTACTAAATCAAACGTTTTTCTTAAATTAGCATTTTTCTCAGGATGTGCAGAAAATGCACTTTGATGCAGTGATAATTTTCAACTCTTAACTCAAAAAATCACTTTTGAAGAAGTGTCTTTTTCTGTGCAATTGCGATCAAAGTTCTAAAAGTTTTGGGGCTGTATATAATAGGCCTAGTTCATTTGTGTCCAGACAGTTACTTCTTGGATACAATAACAAAGAAGATAGGTCTGGTCTGTCTGGTTAACATGATGATAGTTTTCAGTAGGCCTGAATAAGCAAGAGTTATTTCCCGTTGGCCGCTATATTGGAGGTCCCTTCATTATTCAACCAACCAACTTTAAACTTTTTATACTGGTTATTGTGGGATAGGAAGCATTGTTTTTCTGAAAAATATACATTTGTTAAAGCCTCCTTTCATAATTTTTATTTTTGGAAAGATTTTCCCTCAAATATTTGTGCTACACCCTCTTAAATTTGGTAATTAGCCCCTTCACAATAACTGCGGTATTACTCTTTTGCAGGGCAAAATAATAAATAACGTTTGGCGAAGTTTTTGTTGAGGGATAATTAAATGACGTATATTAAACAATCACTTTAAAATTTAGGTCATATTTCACCAAACTATATCATTTTGCCCTGCAAAAGAGCAGTACCGCAGTTACCGTGAAACGGTCTATAGCTAAATAAAGCTACCTGAAGTAGCTAAATACATTTATAAACCTACAGTAGGTAATTCTAGCTATGTAGCTAAATGTACTGATTGTACTGGACCTGGCTAACATAGAAAGAAACACATTTTATTGTTTATAATATTTATGTGTATATTTTGTTTGTTTATTGTTTAACATCCCTCTCAAGAATTTTTCACTTATATGGAGATGCCACCACTTGCCAGTGGAGAGCTGCAAATTTTGACCTATGCTCGGCACTTAGGGCCATTGAGCAGTGAGGGATCTTTTTCGTGCCAGCACCTACTGCGACACGGGACCTCGGTTTATACATTCTCATCCGAAGGACCGGTCTGCAAGTCCCACAATGGGATTTATATATGTGTATATGAATATATATAAAAAGTAGGCATAAGTAATTAAATCAGGGTTGCAAATAAAATTTTAAACCTTAGGATGATGTGGGCCCCAAAGTTTACAAGTTTTGCTAGCCCACATTGATCTTTTGGGGCCCAAGATTTTCTCTCTACTTTAAAAAATTCTCAATCTATTATTTTGTATTTTAATTTCTAGAAGTATACTTGCTGTCAATGGTCTTTCATTTCTCTTATAATTGAGACACAATGAATGCAGATGCCACCTTTCATTTGAATGGTTGAAATGGCATGATGAAGTTTAAAAAAAAAAGAGCAAGGTCCACACCCCATGTTAGTGACATATTTTGGTATGACAGTCTGAAAATGTATCAAAAATGAACAAGTGAAAACTTAAACATGTTAGAAAATAAGTATTCAATTTGCTAAAAAAAACAAAAGCTTCCTGGGGGGATTCACCTGCCCCTTTCACCACCCCACCAGAGTATTGCCATGGACCTGCCTAGTTATGGCGGTGGTATCCCAAATGAACACCTGATGAATACCTTTTGACTTTTTGGGAGTTATTATATAAGGGCTATATGGACTATACACGGCAAGGGACACTAATCATTCATCTAAAACCTCTCCAGGTGTACTAAGAAGCTATTCATTACAGTACTGTTGGTTTAACTTTACTGGTATTTAACTGTGAAAATATTAAAGAAGAGCATTGTCAATATGCGAGTTTCGAGATTGTAACTCTCCTATGATAGAGGCACAAAGAGTGTCCATATCAGCATAAATGAATGATGGCTATGGATTTTTAAAATTCACTTAATGATGATGGTAAGAAATGATCATTTTGATGGTTTTATAAAGCTCTATTATACAAATTTACAAAATTTGCTTTCACCTAGGATACTTGAAAACAAAAGAACCGTCATAGTATTTGTAAGAAAAAAAATAATTCTTTGATTGTACAAACCTTTTCTAAAAAAAGGTATTGGGTTCTTTGAAGTTTTTATAAGGGAAAGCTGACATACAATGATCACATGCGTGTGTATTTTCTCTTCCCTCATTTGATAAGTTCTTATCCACTGATGTTTTCTTTTGTTCCGAATTTTATTTTCTTCCGATTTTTGTTCATAGAAAAAAATGTCGCCTTTACTTTAATTCGGTAATTTTCGAGTCGAAGAGTACATCCCAACAATCAGTTATGATGGCATATCGATGATGTAATGTATCCAATATATAAATAACTGTCCCACCTGCCTGTTTACGCGGAAACAAAACTCCCCTCTGTAACAAAAGAGCGCATCAAGGGAGATAATTTCGAAACTTGCGTATTATACATTCTTTTGTTAAACACAAACTATAATGAAATATATTATTAAGAAGAATATTTTCATGATTTTCATTGGCTTAAAGGACGTCGCACGATATTCATCCGTTTCTGATATTGATGCGAAAGCGTGTCCACTGAATATGGTGTCATGTGACTCACCGTTTCTGTACGTACATAATTAACACACCGTGGCAGTGTAATATTAGAAGTATGTTTAAATTACCTTAGTGAGGTCTTGACAGCCAATCAAGTCTATTACATGTACAGCTAGGACTATCAGATTATTCTTTTGGAGTGATTATATATTAGTTTATAACTAATGTCTTTAGGGTGCGACCATTGCGTCGAGTGCAGATGTACTATCAACAACCTTTTCACAGCTTGCGCACACATTTAACTTTGATCCGCCTCTTCAATCTTCAAACCGCATGAGACACAGTCTAGACCATGATGTCAGATGATGTCATATGTTGGTTGCAATTCCATAATGGAGTCTTATGCCCTGTTCACACGGAGTGTTTAATTCGTAGTAAATTAATGCGAAGTAAAATGATGCGAATTAAATTGCATTCACACGACAGCTAATGCGAAGTAAACTAATGCGAATTATAATTTTATTTCTACAACAAGGCTATTCAGTGAGATTTATAAATCACGCCTATTGTGCAGAGTAGATACACATTTGACAAAATGTCATAGTGTCTGTGTACATTTTAGTGATTAACATAATTTTCCTTTGTTTTCCACTCAAAAATAGCACAAGTACCTATATTTGACCATCGACATGTGGTCTGTGACTAAATTCTGCCCTTACGCATGCATCAAAATTTAATTCGAATTAGCTTCGCTTAGCGTTCACATGGAGCTAAATGCGAAGTAATTTAATGCGCAGTAAACTAATTCGAATTAAACTAATTCGCATTAAATTCTCCGTGTGAGCGTGGATCAAATTTAGTTCTCAGTAACTTATGTTTCATTCGAATTAAACTTTGCGTGTGAACGGGGCATTAGATAGTGCAATTTGTAACAAAAGACATTGTAGAGTAGATGCAATTATTTTTTTTGAGCTTTTTACAAGAAATAAATCTTAACTAGAAATGTTAACCTATTATATTCACCATTTATTTATCACATGGAACTGTGGGAGGAAAGAAATCTGGGGGACTCGTGTCAAGTGAAATTGACTTCAAACAAAGAAAATGATTGTGACCTCTCAAGTTTGGTCGCCATCACTTTCTGTGTCTTCGGTCAATATCACGTACTTGACCATGTAGACATGCGTCCTTATAACAACATATCAATCTACAATGAAGTCCATGATTCTTTAAATGAGGATATTCAATGTTTTGTAGTTGAAATAAATTCCATTTTCAACTACAAAACATTGAATTTTCTCTTTATTATGTACATTTCCTTTGATTTTCCCTGTGCCTCTGTCTTTTCCTAATGCAGTGTCATCGGCTGTGACAGCATAGATCAGCAGTTGAGGTGTCATGATAGCTAATTGATAGAGAGATTGAAATTGGAGAAACTTTTGCAGTTTTAGTCTAAATTCTGCATGGAAAAATGGTTATAAATAGAGTCCTCATCAAACTGTGTAAAATTTGTCTCATGAAACAAGAATTCCAGTTCTAAGTGGAGGTAAAGTGGTCATAACCTGAGAAACTCATAATACCCAGTTTACCTTCAAGGCCCATGGGCCACTTGTTATGCGTAGAACTGGCATTTGTAAAATGTCAGAGGTTGAAATATATGGTAGCCCAATGCCCTGGGCTAGTCATTTTAAGACTCGGGCAAGTAATTTAAATGTAACGATAGTCCGTCGGACTAGCAGAACAAAAAAAAAAATTCTCGATCGTCAGTTTACTGTAGCTTTTCTTTGTAGACTGGTTTCTTTTGACTGAGAACTAAGTTAATTTGTTTCTGTCACTTAAGCGTTTGACATTTTAATTTGTAATGTTATGTTTTCATTCTGCATGAAAATTGTAGGGCTAGTTAGTTTGAGATTTGGGCTAGTAAATTTTTACTGCTCAGTTGCCTCTGGGCTAGTGGGTTTTCCAGAAAAAATTCAACCCCTGAATGTTTGTAGATTCTTGTTTAATTTTACAGATTAAGATGACTACTAAGGAACATGAGCCACTTAAAAAAAGAACGAAGAAGAGGACAGCAAGGGATCTTGAAGAGGAGGAAGATTCAAACTCGGTAAGAATAGGCTATTTAGCTCACCTGAGACAAAAGCTCTAGTAAACTTTTCTGTTTGAATTGTTTAGATTGTAACCCCAGGAGAAAAATCTTCTTGTGAAGAACAGCATGACCAGAGTCATATTGCTATGCCAGCATCATAATGTAGTGTAGATTTAAATTTGTTCAAATTGTGGCCATGTGATAGGGTAAGGGTAGGTGTTCAAAGTGTGACAAGAAATATATATATAGGAATATTTTCAAATATCTTCTTTTATAGAACAGTAAGGCCACAGATAGATATTGATTAGCCAGCATCCACATGTAGTAAGATTCAAATACATTATCCATTCAACCATGGTGAAATCATTGCTTTTTTGGGATAGGGTGCATGTACACAAAAGCAGATCAAAATTTGACACAGAAACAAGTAAGGATGTCTTCATAGAAAAATTACAAAATTCTCAAGCAGTGCCAAGGTTATTCCACAGAGGATTATGGGACATGAGCCTCTTGTTTAGGCGACCATAATTTGATTTTTAGTTTTACGGATTTTTTTTCAGGAAAGGTCAAGTCATAGGACGAAAAAAAGAAGACGATATTACACATTTATTATTTATTGATACATAATTTTGTGTGAAGTTACACGGTTTTTGAAAACAATGAAACCAATCCAACGATACTGTCCTTTCACCATTCTGCACGTGTTTTATGTCCAAATTCAAATGTCTAAATGATTTGCTATTATAAAACACGGATTGGACACAAGTGGCTTGAAAAATTCTGGATTTTTATTTTTTTAATGCAAATTTTTAGAGTTGGGGCATCCGTAAAACTAAAAATCAAATTACAGTCACCTTAGATGCTTACAGTTTCAGATATGCATTGTTTTCTGTTTAAATAAAAGGACTCTGAAAATGAAACATTAGGCTCCAGTAATAAGAAGAAATGCCCACCATCAAATCATTCAGACTATTCAACTGATTCAAGCCAATCAAGTAAAGAACAAGGAACCTATTCGACCAGTCATTGGAGTTACAAAGATCTGAAGTCTGTAAATATCTTTTATGAGGAAACACAAGAACCCTTGGAAAAATTTATCAGTGAAGTGAAAGATGTTCTTCAGAGTGAGAGATATTTTTTCCCTGATCCCAGCAAAATGACCAATATTTTGAGGAAACATCTGGAAATTTTGACATTTTCATATGATTTGGCAAAACTTAGAATTGTACGGAAGTACGGTGTCCCTAGAGAGGAGCTGGAGAGAATATCAGAGGAGATGATGGAATATGAACGGCAGTGGACACATGGGGAAGAGCCAGAAGAAACACTACAGAAGAACCAGTAAGTTTATAGTTACCTCTGTCATACACTTCTGTCAAAATCAGTTTTTCTGATCAAGATTTTCTGTCATCTTAGGAATATTTATACAAGAACCAGGCACGGATCCAGGAATTGAAGTTAGGGGGGATGTGGGGGCTGCCTTAAACCCCCAGTGGGTCCAGGGCTAAGCCCTGGTGGGGGCCAAGGGGGCGAAGCCCCCGGACGCTCCTGGATTTAGAGATTTTGCAGGGTAAAAATGAGGTCTACCGAGTAGACATTTTTACATTTTCTTGACGAAACTATGATTTACGCCAACTTTAACAGTTTTAGGGGGGTGCACTCCGGGTGCACCCCCCCTTAAATCTGTCACTGAGAACGTATATTATGTATTGCACAGGTTTAGAGCCAAAGGCTGAACTTAGTTTTCCTTATCACAGAGTGTCTTGTGTTCATCTGTTTGTCACAAGCTGTCATCGCCGTTGTCATTAACTTTTCACATCTTCAGCTTCTTCTCTGGGCCACTGGGCCAGTATTAATCAGAACCACTGGGCCAATATTAATCAGAACCACTGGGCTAAAATCAACCAGAACCACTGGGCCAATATCAATCAGAACCACTGGGCCAATATCAACCAGAACCACTGGGCCAATATCAATAAGAATCACTGGGCCAATATCAATAAGAAACACTGGGCCAATATCAATAAGAACCACTGGGCCAAAATCAACCAGAACCACTGGGCCAATATCAATCAGAACCACTGGGCCAATATCAACCAGAACCACTGGGCCAATATCAATAAAAATCACTGGGCCAATATCAATACGAGTCACTGTGCCAGTATCAATAAGAATCAATGAGCCAATATTAATCAGAATCATTGGGCAAATATCAATAAGAATCAATGGGCCAATATCAATACGAATCACTGGGCCAATATCAATAAGAATCACTAGGCCAATATCAACCAGAATCACTGGGCCAATATTAATCAGAACCACTGGGCCAATATTAATCAGAAACACTGGGCCAATATCAATACGAATCACTGGGCCAATATCAATATGAATCACTGGGCCAATATCAATACGAATCACTGGGCCAATATCAATAAGAATCACTGGGCCAATATCAGTCAGAATCACTGGGCCAATATCAATCAGAATCACTGGGCCAATATCAATAAGAATCACTGGGCCAATATCAACCAGAATCACTGGGCCAATATCAATAAGAATCACTGGGCCAATTTTAATCAGATTCACTGGGCCAATATCAATCAGAATCACTGGGCCAATATCAACCAGAACCTGCACTGGGCCAATATTAATCAGAATCACTGGGCCAATATGTTCATGGTGACTTACTTATCACTTGTCATTCTCTGAGGACCCAAGACTAAGTTTGATAATTCTAAGCCAATTAATACCTAAAATATTTAATTATTACCATAAAATAACCATAACCATAACCGTAAAATTTCAAAAGTAGGTCATAGTGACCTCCTTTTCAACTTTTCAATGTTCATTTGTTTCAAAATGGCACTCCCAGCAATGTTTACCCCTTTTACTTATAGTACATCGTAGTTATACTTCATATTATAGTCAAGACAGCAAAGACAATCCTTTTTTTGGTTCATAATCTACTGCAAAATGTAGAGGACGGTTTTCATACATTCCCCCTTGAAAAGTAGAGGGGTATATAGTAACAGAATACAGGTATGCTCTTCCGTACATTCTTTCGTACAGCCTTCCAAATGCCATAACACTTGGGGATACCCTTCTCTTATCAACAACTACACCTTCACCTCTGAATAAAATTTAATGAGGCTTTCACAGAGTCTTTATTACATATTGCCATTGTGACCCTCTATTTTACATTTCAATCAGACAGATATTTTTGATTTCCCACAGCAATAACTGGTCTTTGCCATTATACTCTAATGGGAGCAGGGGGTATCATTTTGTCAGTGCTCGCAGTACCTCTAGTTTTGAACTATTTCAGTGTAGGTTCCATGTATAAGTATGTGAGGTTTAAAGTTTTCTTGCTTCAGTCAATTCAAAGTGCACAGTTTATTGGTAAAACTTATAATGTGATGCTACCATGGTATTGATGAAATAGTCTTATTTAGTCAAGTTAAAAACAAAAATAGCAAAAATAAGAGAAAAACTGACATATTTCTTTTCAATTAATCAGCTTTTATGAAGCATTGGACTCATCTATGAGGAACCATGCACTGAAACTAATAATCAAATTGGACTTTGCTGTGGGAGATTTTGCATATCAGACTGTTCAACTTGCCAAACAAATTCTAATTGGAACAGATTGTCCTGAGGATACAGAATGTAGAAATATTTTCCAGATTTACTGTGAATTTTTTGGAAGGATATTCTTTTTAACTAGTGGGTGAGTTGATTTAGTTCATTAGTACCAGGCACAAGTTGACTTAACTTTCCAGATAAGAACAATATAAAAATTAATCCTCCCTTCCCCTCACTGCAGAAAAAAAATTGAGATAGATACTACAGTTTTTTTAAAGCTGAATTAAGAACCAGAATTAAATTTCCAGATAAGAAAAATATAAAGTCGTCCTTTCACCTCACTGCAGAAAAAAATTGAGATAGCTACTACAGTTTTTCAAAGCTGAATTATGAACCAGAATAAAATTGGACACTTCCAATTCCTCTGATCTTGAACAAATGACCTTAGACACACTCTGTGGACATAAGCAGCCTTTTATTAGTTTTAAAGTTTTAATAGTCATAGGTCGGGTGCAGTTACTTTGTTTTGTCATTATGTAATTCTGTCGTAACTTTGACCTCCCTAGTACCTTTTGAACTATAGAAGTTAGAAACTTTATTTGACATAATTATAGAAATATATGAGCATAATAAGAGCTTTGATATTTAATAATCACTATTTTCATCTGTTTGTTTGTCTATGCAGCTCATACTATAAACTGGAATGTCTTAGTTGTGTTTCTACAATGCTTTATTTTTTTTTCAGTGTAGTAATTCAGGGGTCCTTTACTTTTCAAAATCGAATCCTGAGGATCACTCCTGATATTGTCTATCATTACATCCCTGATAAATGTTGTAATTCAGAGGATGAGCAACTCTTGTTTATTATACAGGTAATTATTAGGCCCCATCTTCAAAGATGGGAGGGCATATTGTTTTGCTGCTGTCTGTCCATTGGTCTGTCTGTCGGTCCACCAACAGTTTCCATACATTTTCTCCGCAGACGTTGCACATACTGAAATTTGGTATACAGATTTATCATAAGAATATATCTAAGTCAAGTTAGGTTTTGGGTACTATCAAGCAATTTTTGACAGATTGGCCTTATGGACTTAGAAAAATTCCAATTATTTTCAGTTTCCATTCATTTTCTTTGCAGAGGTTGCACATTCTGCATTGAAATTTGGTATACAGATTTATCATCAAAATATCTAGGTCAAGTTCTGTTTTGGGTATGATTGAACAATTTTTGACAAAGTTATGCCCCTTGACTTAGAAAAATTCCAATTATTTGGGGGGAAGGGGGCATAAGTGTTTCACATTTCACAAACATCTTTTGTTTTACTTTTAATTAAGTAACACTGAAAGTTGATGATGTTAAATGATTGAATGATTGTTGCATGTTTACAGATGACAGACAATCACTCCTGAAACTTTCAGATTTCAATCTGACACTTAGCTTTTCTGAGGACTTGTGCAGGCAAAGTTTTTAGTCCAAAATTAAAAAAATTGTCATTTGCAATAAAAAGGTGATTTTTTCATTTTATTTACAAGATATCAAAATCCCCAATATCAAGTCTGTGACTTTTTTGAAACAGATAGAGTAGTTCTTTTTTAAAAAAAAAACAAAAAAAAAACTTTCCTATTGCAGGCAATGGAATACATGTATATCACTTCAAACTGACCCAGATGTTGCAATTGAAAGAACAGTAGAACTGAATTCAAATCAGCATGAACAATGAATATTTTTAAATTTTGTGAAATTTGAAATATTTAGAAAGAAGAAGGTGCGGTTTTAGCTTTATTGTGCCCTAAAAATTTAATGTTTTCAAAAAGTTTTGAACCTGGCTTAAATATTAGTTGAGTCTCTGACTGTGATAAATCAGGAAAAAATATGGCATAAAGGAGTACCATTCTGGAAATATGACATCATTAATTTGATGCATTTCTCTATTTTGAACAGAAAAAGCCTCAAAATGACCAATTCAAGGGTTTTTTTCCTTTACAAAATAGTGTCCACAGCTGTCACCCACTTTAATTTTCGGATATGTTGTGTAAAATTCTTTGAAAAACCACATATCTCAAAATATTTGTGGGCGATGCCTGTGGACAATATTATCTGAAAGAAAATTTCATTGAAAATTGGCGTCTTCTACAACTTTTTAAGAAAATACGGGAAAATGCACAAGTTTATGATGTCACAATTAGCATTTAGAAGGTCATGTGAGAAAAATGATTTTATGATCTTTCTGCATAGAATTTCCATGATTCAGAAAGTATGAGTTTTAATTTTTTACATCACTTTCATTTTTAAAAAAAACACAGGGTAAGATTTGTATTGAAACCATACCTTGTTCTTTGTTCCATTTTGTTTTCATGCTGATGCAGCCATTTTAGAAATTTAAAGTCCCAGAATGTTGAATATACAATTACACTTCAATATTATGTAGATTGATATACATTAAGATGAAAAGAAAAAAAAAATAGAAAATATCCCCGTTTTAGTATCACATAAGCTAAAAGCTACGTGTAGCATGATCTTTCCTGATTGAAGCTTGTCCGACATCCGTCTTTTGCCTTTTCTGTGTTGTCTGTCCTGTGTTGCTTGTCCTGTGTTGTCTGTCCTATGTTGTCTGTCCTATCCTGTGTTGTCTGTCCTGTATTGTCTGTCCTGTCCTGTGTTGCCTGTCCTGTGTTGTGTGTCCTGTGTTGACTGTTCTGTCCAGTGTTGTCTATCCTGTGTTGCCTTTCCTGTGTTGTCTGTCCTGTCCTGTATTGCCTGTCCTGTCCTGTGTTGCCTGTCCTGTGTTGCCTGTCCCGTGTTGTCTGTCCTGTGTTGCCTGCCCTGTGTTATCTGTCCTGTGTTGTCTGTCCTGTGTTGCCTGTCCTGTGTTGCCTGTCCCGTGTTGTCTGTCCTGTGTTGCCTGCCCTGTGTTATCTGTCCTGTGTTGCCTGTCCTGTGTTGTCTGTCCTATGTTGTCTGTCCTATCCTGTGTTGTCTGTCCTGTGTTGCCTGTTCTATGTTATCTGTCCTGTGTTGTCTGTCTTGTGTTGCCTGTCCTGTGTTGTCTGTCACGTGTTGCCTGTCCTGTGTTGTCTGTCCTGTGTTGTCTGTCCTGTCCTGTGTTGTCTGTCCTGTGTTGTCTGTCCTGTGTTGCCTGTCCTGTGTTGTCTGTCCTGTCCTGTGTTGTCTGTCCTGTGATGCCTGTCCTGTCTCTCCTGTCCTGTGTTGTATGTCCTGTGTTGCCTGCCCTGTGCTGTCTGTCCTGTGTTGCCTGTCCTGTGTTGTCTGTTCTATCCTGTGTTGTCTGTCCTGTGTTGTCTGTCCTGTGTTGCCTGTTCTATGTTATCTGTCCTGTGTTGTCTGTCCTTTGTTGCCTGTCCTGTGTTGTCTGTCATGTGTTGCCTGTCCTGTGTTGTCTGTCCTGTCCTGTGTTGCCTGTCCTGTGTTGTCTGTCCTGTGTTGCTTGTCAACTTTCAACAAGTTCAACTCCTTTTCAATTTCTTCTCCAGAACCACTGATAAAATTTTCTCAATTTTCTTGCCACAAAGCATCCTTTGGTGAAATGAATCAAGATTTGTTGATATGTAGGGCCACATACATCCTCTCTCAAAGAAAGTAATTAAAAGATAGTAAAACCATCTCATGAACCACAGGGTTAGAAAAGACAAAACTTATGGAAATGCTTCTTTATAAAGTGTAGATTCAAATTTGTTCATTTTAAGGCCCTTGGGATAGGGTGAGGCCACAAGTTTGAACAACATTGGAATATATAGGAAAATATTTCTCAAAAAGAACAGAGACATGTTTAATTAAATAGTAATGTGTATTAAGATGCAAGCATCCTCTAGGTATTACAGAATCAAGTTTATTCAAGTTATGGCCCTTGGGAAAGGGTTAGACCACAATAGGGAATATACATTTTACATTGGAATATATAAGAAATATATCTTTAACAATCTCCTTAAGAACAGCAGCATGACTGTGCTCTCAGATGCCTTGTACATAATTCGGTGGTGCACGTTCATTTGGGGAATTTAGCGTAAGGGTTTGGGGAATGTTAGATAGCACATTAATCCAAATTTGTAAGAGAACAATGATTGTTTATCAACGTGTTACACACTACACATTCAATCCAGTGGCATATTCACCCTTTAGGTAGAAATTAACTCATCCCCAAATTTACAAGTTTTTCAAATTTTAGATGCTCAGGCCATCTTTAAAACCAATCTTTATTTGCCCACTTCCAACACAGGATATAAACTAGAAATATGTTCATAGGACATGAATGCCCTGCCGAGGGTATATTAGTAATGCAACATTTTAACACAAATTGAGAAAAATAAGGTCAAGGTCAAAGGAAAGGTCAAGGTGAAAAAATATTGATGCAGTTGAATAGCTTACATCAGTATGTATCAGCATATGAAGTTTGACACTAATTTAAGAAAAGTGAGGTCAAGGTCAAAGGAAAGGTCAAGGTCAAAAATTGTTGATGCAGTTGAAAAGGTTACATCAATATGTATTAGCATATGAAGTTTGATAAAAATATTATGAATGGTTTCTTTAGAACTGAGCTAAACACTAATTTAAGAAAAGTGAGGTCAAGGTCAAAAGAGAGGTCAAGGTCAAAAAATGTTGATGCAGTTGAATAGCTTACATCAGTATGTATCAACATATGAAGTTTGATAAAAATATCTTGGATAGTTTCTTTGAAACTGAGCTTTGAACAGAGCTAAACGCAAAGTGTAATGGAAGGACGGAAGATGGACATGACAAACACTATATGCCCCGGTCATATTCATGGCGGGGCATAAAAAGATGGGTGAGTAGGTAGCTAAGAAACTTTTTTTTCATAAATTTTTCAATTCAATGCTAAACTTTCAAAATTAATTGAAAATGGAGCTTTCAATAAAATAAAATGGTTGTTGATGCGGATAAAAAAAAAACCAGGCTGAAAAAAAAAGTGTTTCCTAGTGGTTAGAAAAAGTTTTGAGTTCGTCCATTTTTAGTTGGTCAGGAGAAGGCAAACAAACAATTTATTTTTAAAGATGGCCTGGTGAAGGACCAACTGACTAAAACTGCCAAATTTGTGTGAGTTCTTAGATTTGTTATCCTTAAATTATAGGCAAATAGAGCTGCAGATTCTCCTGAGGATGCGACAGACATTAAAGAGATAGTGAGAGAAGATACTATGGGACAAGTTGGAGCAGAGCTTATTGGCCTGTCACGTCGTTCAGTATTTTATCCAAATAGTCTTGGAATCATTTGTATGGAAACAAAAGTAAGAATTCCTCACCCATTACAAGCAAATGAGATGGCATAAACTAAACCAGGATCATAATTCTTTATATGTAAAATTGATGGAAAGTGAAATCTTACTGGCAAATGTCAAATCTCAATGACAAATATAATAAAAAATACTGAGAGACAACAATATGGGTAAACAGGTCTGCATCATTAAAAGCATTGGAACCATGTCAGCCATAGTAAATTTGAATCAGCAAGAATCAGCCAGCATGTAGGCATGATTCTTAGAGACTAATGCAGGGATTTATGTAAAAGTTATTACTTCTTATTCAACATAACAAGATGTGCAACTGGAACTTTCAAAGAAAAGATGAAACTTATGTGAAAGCTTCATTACTTATGATTCAAGTCTGTTCATATCATGACCCCAGGGGATAGGGGGTCCACAACAGGGGTCAAAGTTTTACACAAAAGTATTGGAAACATCTTTAAAAAATCTTCTTGTTAAGAACAGCAAATCCATTTTTAGTCATATTAATATAGAAGCATCCTAAGGTAGAGTAGATTCAAATTTGTTCAAATCTTGACCCTAGGGGGTAGGGCTGGGCCACAAAATAACACTATTTTTTAGCTCTTCTGAGTTTGTCAGTTAATGCAGGGTTAGAAACTCCCTAAAATTACAACTCGCAAATAATTGCAAGTTCTATGAAAGTGAACTCGCAATTTTATAACACTACTCGCAATTTTCATATAAAAGCCTTTTCAAAATTAAAATTAAATACCGGTACATGTAACTTAAGGAACAAGTTACTACTGTTTGTTCAATACACAAAATACAACTACAATTTGAATTTTATTCAAATTATTGATTTAAATCAAAAGCATTGTGTTCTGTCATATTATATAATTTTGCTAAGTTTCAATGCATGTTTTTTTTTTCTCCTCACTTTATCTTGATAATTTAACTGCAATACGAGGAAATAAATCTTTGGTACTGTATTTATACATCTATTATAATAAAGTGACAAAGTTCTGACAAATTTTATAATAGAGTTTCAGAAATAAGTCATTCACAACTGTTTTCTTTTGCGAGGTTATATTTAACTCTTTTCTCATCCCTCTTTATTTTTCAAGATTTCAAATGAAACATATGATCATCATTGTTTGTGCTGTTCATTTGTTTTCAGCACCCTCTCCCAACTGCCGTTTTAAAAACAAAACAAAAAAAACTAGCCATGCTGATATTTAAGGACCCTCTCTACACCGCACCCTATTTTCAGGGTACTTTTGTGTAATTAGACTGACCCACCATTTAACATAAAAATAGAAAAAAAATGGAATTTGAACTGTATCACATAATTTAAAATAAATCCAAGTATTCTAAACATTATATTTGACCAAGATGAGTATTTGAAAACTTTATTTACATGTATTTTATCCATTTTCCCAAGTAAAGGCAATTTTTCTTTATTATTACTTCATTGTCTTTAAAGATTTTTTTCTGAATAAAAAAGGCACGCTCCCTATATTAAAATGAGTTAGTTAATTTCAAAATATCCTCCTTTGTGCTGTATAATTTTTTCAAAGTCCAAAAAACATTTTTCATCGGTGTATAGAGGGTCCTTAAAGAAGGGGGAAAAAGAAAACTATAATCAAGAAGGGACTGATTTTTTCTCAAGGAAAAATAATCAAATCGCAAGTTTTTGCGAGTTACCTAATTTTTAACTTGCAATTTAGGAATTCTAACTCGCATTTTGTGAGTTATATATAGTGAATTTCGAACCCTGTAATGCCTCATGGGGCCTTGAAATGTGTCAACCATAAAGTAGGTCACCATGTCCTTTTTCTGGAAATTTTTTGCTAATCATTTTCAAAACATTTTAGTTCATTATTTCGAATACTGAGAGGTTTAGAATCATCTGCTCGTTTGTAATTGTAATACGAAGAAATAGTAGTATGAACTAATAAGTTGATGCACAATGGGGTCTTGGAACACAATGACCCATGGGGTCTTGGAACACAATGACCTACTTTTTACATTTTGCAGGTACTCATTTTATATTGTTTTAGATGCATATTTTGAACACTTTATACTCTGAGATCATCAACTTAAGGCCTCAGAGTATATCAACCAAAAAGTAGGTCACAGTGACTTGGCTTTATATAAATATTTTACATACTAAGTGGCCTGGAATCATCAAACTTTGTCAGGTGATGCAATCTTTGATTATTTAATATGTTTTCTCTTGTAGTTAATTTTTGTTTTCCTGAAAATATCAATGGAGCATTCAGTCAGCATACATAGTGGAGATAAAGGATCAGCAGAAGATCCAGGGAAGATTATGTACACCCAGCCGTTTGACATTCTTAAACCAGAAGACAGACTGAAAATAGCAGACTTCATGTTCTGGCTAGGATATATTCAAAATCGCAGACGATATCCCTCTCTCTGATTATCATCACTGTAAACTAAGGACCCTTTAAGTACATTTGTTGTTTATTTGCAGATAAGGGAGGGCATATTGCTTTGCTGCTGTCTGTCTGTCTGTCTGTTTGTTGGTCCCCCAACAGTTTCCATTCATTTTCTTTGCAGAGGTTGCACATACTGAAATGAAATTTGGTATACAGATTTATCATAAGAATATCTAGGTCAGGTCTTGTTTTGGGTATGATCAAGCAATTTTTCACAGAGTTATGCCCCTTGGACTTAGAAAAATTCCAATTATTTGCTCTCCGTTCATTATCTCTGCAAAAGTTGTACAAATAAATTACTGATATATCATGAGAAATGTGTTTTTGCCAAAGATGTGGTATTGTAGAATACTTTTTCTGGTTGATGCATCTCAGATAGTACCGGTAGGTGACCCCTATTGATTTGAAGTTCAAAAGGTCAATTTTATTTCCATGTACACTGTCCATAATGTATACTGCCCATAATAAAGGCTTGTGCACCCTATAATGTATGTCGGGGGGGGGGGGGGGGGGGGATAAGTGTTTCACAACCATCTCTTGTTACTTAATAGGTTGGTTACTGACTGTCCATAGGAATATGTCAGGTTGTTCAAATCTAGGGACTGTCCATAGGAATATGTCAGGTTGTTCAAATCTATGGAAGGTGAGGCAAAGTATTTTGTTTTGTCAAGGACCAATAACAGTTAACAAACCTACCTAGATCAATACAGTTAAGAGACTTTTTTGTCTGTGCAAATATCCAAATATTAAGGAGTAGAGAAAATTTTCAAAGGTTTTTTTTTTTAATATCTGACCAGCAAAGCCCTCAGCCATGAATTTCAAAGCTTGAGTACTCATCATTTTTTAAAACAATTTGCCTACTAGATGTCAATGACTTAAGACATGTTATTTTTTGTTACATTTAGATATAATGCATTTTCAGAATATAACCAATTTAGCCCCACCCCATAGCCTGAACCATTAAGCCAAAGGCCATTTATTTATTTCACAGTTTTAGAAGAAGGTTCATGAGAACTGAATACCTTTTTTATTGCAGCAATGTAGTTTAAATCATTTTGTTGAAATTTCAGATTATATATTATTGTTGTATATCTGTGATTGTATATGTCTATGCATTGTATATATTAAGTATACACATATTTGTTGTATATCAGTGTTTGTGTACAAGTTTATTTGTTGTATATCGGTGATTGCATATAAGTCTCTTTGTTGTATATTTGTGATTGTATATATTAAATCTAATTGTTGTATAACAGTGACTGTATATGTCTATTTGTTTAATATCAGCCATTTATTTAAATATATTTGTTGTATATCAGTGATTATATATAAATGTATTTGTTGATATCAGTCTATTTGTTGTATATCATTTATTAAAGGAAGTAAAAACTAACGGAATGGAGGTCTGAAAAAACATGCAATATAGGAGAACACGGAATGACCTTGGATCAATGTCATGAAACACCCTCAGATCTTGTACAATCTTTGTACCCAGTGTGAGCTTCCAATAATTTTCCATTGCTAAGTTATGGCCTAGACAAGAATTTTGTATGTTTTCTGTCAGTGTCCTTGAACTTGCCAGAATGATCTTGGATCAAGGTCATGAAATACCCTCATGTCGTACACAATTTTTGTTAGAAGTAAGAGCATCCAATGATTCTGCATTACAAAGTTAAAGCTTGGACAAGAATTTTCCAATTTTCTTTCATTGACCTTGAACTTCCAGTATGACCTTGTGTTAGGTGTGGACAAACCCACTGGTCATGAACAAACTCCATACCAAGTATGAACTTTCAATAATTTTCTATTACAAAGTTATGGGTAGTACAAGAATTTTATACTTTTTCTGCCAGTGACCTTGAACTTGCATTATTGACTTTAGGTCCATAAGCAATCTCTGCATCAAGTATGAGCTTCCAATGAATATCTATTACAAAGTTATAGCCTGGACTGTTAGATAGTTGAGGGAATTCTTACATATACCCCCCAAACTTCCTTTGCAGGGGGTATAATAATTCCTGTTCTGATTGTAGCATTCTAACATTCAGAGGTTATACTTCATATATATATTACTTGTGATCTAAAAGTGTACCTTGATCTTGAGTAAAGGTCAATTGGACAAGTTCAAGAACACTGGAAGAAAAAGTATAAAAGAACGAGTGCACTTATGGGCCCCGGTAAAATGTGAAAAAATGAAGAATCAAATTAAGCATATTTTTTCATCTCAGATCATTAATTGATATCTAAACCATAAGATTCAACAAATTTTATCGGTGAAATTCATAAATATACAAAGAGCAAAGCCATACAATGTGATAGGGGTCAGCCGACATTCGTGATTTTCTATAGTAAATCGAGGACGGTCATTCATTTCAAAGCTTTTGTTTACTGTCAGCCTAACGTTGTACAAACTTGTGAGAATGACAAAAAAAGAAAAACCCATTATACATTTATAAAACTTGTGTGAAAGTAGGAAATTTCTACAAGATTAGGCTTGTACTCAAAATATTAAAAATGTATAAAAAGTTCAATGTTTTTTTCTATAGCAAGCGAGAGCTATTTACCTGTATGACCTGTTGAACCCACCCGTGGAATAAATTTAAAATACCGGTAGCCACGTGAGTTCTGCCCAGGTAAACGTTCTTCAAAGGTGCTCACTGTAAAAGATAGCAACGTTTTGTATCATAATATCGAAGTCGTGCCGCATAGAGAAGTTTGTATGTATTTGGTTTTATGAACACATACATAAAGCGTCAAACATTTTTAACATTCATGCAAGACAATGGTTACGGTATTGAAAGCCACCTAAATACACCTTTTTTTCATTTTAAAATTTAAGGATACTAATGTTAATACTTATTGTGTTATTTCAGATGCAAGCGTGCAAATTTCTTAGTTTGATCACTATGGCTACAGGCATCTATACAACTTCATTCGATTTTTTTCTCAGGTAAAATAGCGCAAGAAGTATCATTCGGTAAACGCGCCCGTCAATGATCCACTATCAGATTGTTCAAGTGTCCGATTTAAATGTCTCCTCCCCTTGATTTAAATAAAGGAAACTCAAAATAGGTTCGGTACGACTTTTCCGGATTTGGGGTATCTATATGCATTTAAAAATCTTCAATTGTTTCAAATCCATGCTGATTTAGGTGATGTTTTAACGTGATTTTAATTAGAAATATCCACTTATGTTTAACTATTACCGAAAAAGAACAATTTGGTAATATATTCTACAGTAAAACGGCACTGAAAAAGGGCCCATTAAGCATTGCTTAAGTGCACTTGTCCTTTGTGTCTAGTCCATAACTTAAAAAAGAAGAACATTCAAAGTTCGAGCTTTGCATAAAAATTCCTTGATCTGAAAGTGTGTCCTGACCTTGACCAAAGGTCATTTGGGCAAGTTCAAGGTCAATAGCAGAGACCAAGTTTTTATCTGACTACAATGATGGAGCAAAACTCCTGCACACACAATATATCACTTTATTCATGAATATTCTCCATCTCAACATCTCACAATATTAACAATTTCATATCATTATTTTCTTTTTACATTAATATTCTTACAATGCATATTAAATTGAGTTAAAAAAACCATGTCACAGATCATGAAATAATAAGAGCAAATGTAGTAAAATATCTATATAATTATAACAAGATAAACATTTAATGTAACCATTTCAACAAGTTTATGATTTGTGATTTGTACGGGAGTAAATTCCCACTGATCAACAATACACTGTTTATACTCATTAGGTACAATTATGATCAAATGAAAGAAAAAGTTAGCAAGCTCACATACCACACACTCCCACATTGCATGACAATGCTACACTTTAATGAATAGCAATACAATGCATTAAATACAACAAATAATTACCTCCCTCCTCCCCTTTTACAGATGTTTGTCAAATCAGAATCAGATCTGTAATATCTGGAGGTGCATAGAATAAAACATTTCCAAACAAGAAAACAGCTTTTCTTCATCATTTAAATTCATAATGCACGTGCTAAGCCATTCCACACAATTTGCACATAAAATTTTGGCAATACTTCTAATTTCAAAAGGATCCTAACTCCAAGACTGACAAATTAGTGCAGCAATATATTTAAGTTTAGCCAAACTTCTAAGTTCAAAAGGGACATATTTTTCAGAAAAAAGAATGAATTAGAATTTCCAGTGAATTTGCACATCTACATATTATGCCCTTTTAATCTACAAACTATCACAGAATTCTGTTTAAATTTTTCTGAGGAGTTACGTTGACAAGAACAGGACTGAAGGAAGACAAACTTCTAAGTTCAAAAGGGGCATAATTCCCCCAAAAATTGAAAAAAAGAATTTCCTTTGAATTTACACATTATGTCCTTATTAACCAAATTTTCATGAAATTCTGCTGAGCTGTTTCAAAGGAGTTGAACTGACAATAGTATACATATATTTAAGCTTAGCCAAACTTCTATAAGTTCAAAAGGGGCATATCTTCAAAAAATAAAGAAAATGAATTGAAATTTTCTGTGAATTTGCATATCTTCACATTATGTCCTTATTATCCAAAAAGTATCATGAAATTCTGTTGAGCGGTTTCTGAGGAGTTTTGCTGACAAGAACAGGACTGAAGAAAGACAAACTTCCAGGTTCAAAGGGGCATAATTTCCAGAAAAAAAAAATGGAAAAAAGAAATTCCTTTGAATATGCTCATTATATCCCTATTACTGTATACAGGGAAATATTCGCCCCATTTTATTTTCGCCCTTGTCGAAATTGGGTGAATTTAAAACAGGGCGAATTCAAAGAAAATGGCATTATCTCTTAAACAGAACTGTGTCTGGGTGAATTCAAAATGAGGCAAAATTGTTTGCAGGTGTGAAATGGCAAAAGTAACCCTGTATACAGTGACTACAAAGTATCCTGAAATTTTGTTGAGCAGCATCAGAGATGCTGTGATGACAAGAACAGGACTGAAGGACTGACTGACAGAAGGGTCAAAAACATACCCTCTACAACTCGTAGGGTGGGATGTAATAACACACGGATGAACAGAAGTGGGTAAACAATATCGATATTATAGATACATGTGCATGTATATCACAGAAAGTCATATTTTCTGGGATCTTGTACAAATCCCAACCAGAACATGAACTCAGCTATTTTCAGTCTGTCCTCTGCTTTAAGAATGTCAAATGGTTCGGTGTACAGAATCTTCCCTGGATTTTGTGTTGTTTCTGTGTCCCCTTTACGTATGCTGACTGAATGTTCCTTTGATATTTTCAGGAAAACAAATATTAACTACAAAAGAAACAATAGGTTATATCAAAATAATGACTACAAGAGAAATTATAGGTATTCAAAATATTAACTACAAGAGAAAACACAGGTTATCAAAGATTAAATTGACAAATGTTATCAAAATGTAAGGCAAAGCCTCACACAAAAAGCAATTTCTAATGTCTGGGTATGATTTATAGATACTTAAGAATGGCCCCGATATCTTTAGCTATTCATTCAACCAGAAAGTGTATGTTAGTTACAGCTTCAAAAGCAAGTCTGCTAGTGTGCATCCTTGGATGTATCATCCCTGCAAGTTTGGTGATCATTGGGTTACTCAAAATGATGTAATTTTGGGCCTGCTTTAAAATCTTAAACCTGGTTATTCATCCAGAAAATAAAGGTCAGATATACAGCACCTAAAGCAAGTCTGGTAGTGTGCATCATACATCACCAGATGTATCATTCATGCAAGTTTAGTCATGATAGGGTTTTTATTTATTTGGAAATGGATCTGCTTCAAGAACTTTTACTTGTTACTCATTCAGAGTCCAAAGTCTGGTTGTGTGCATCCCTATATGCATTCACTTAATCTATGCAAGTTTGATTCAGGTAAGAACTTATAGTTACTTGGGAATGGACTTGCTCATAAATCTTAAATCTGCTCCATCAATATTAACATGGCCATTCTCTGGAAAATATTGGCTGAAAATTCAGAATCTAAAATCTGATTTGTACAATGAAACAAACTACTGTATATACTTGCCTATAAGTCGGTTGTATTTTTTGAGGTTATTTTGGAGGGATTTGCCATTGACCCGCTTATAAATCGGTACAACTTTTTGCCAGAATCAGTTGACCATTTCAAATCATTTCTCTGATGTTTTAACCTGGTTTCGATTAATATTTTTAGAAATGATTCCAATATTCAATTTGAAATCATTAAGAACAAGATGTGTTTGTGAAACATTGATGCCCTCATATGGCAACTAATAGCAAAGGTTAAACTTTCTCAAATGCAAATCAAATATGTTGGTACCCAAAGTAAGGTCTTGTCTTGAGGAATATACCTGTGAAATATAAAAGCCCTGGCAGCAACCCTAGAATAGATTTGGAAAAGGTTAAAGTTTTTCAAAAGTAATTCAAACATCAAGGTCAAGGTCAAATGGTCAAAATTAATGGTGCCTAAGGAAAGGCCTCACAAGAAATATACAGGTGAAATATGAAAGCTGAAGCACCAATCGTTCAAAAGTTATGACCAAGGTTAAAGTGTTTCAAAAGTAGGTCAAACTCCAAGGTCAAGGTCAATGGATTACAATTGTTGGTATCTAAAGGAATGTCTTGTCACAAGGAAAAAACATGTTAAATACGAAAACCCTAGCAACAACTTTTCAAAAGTTGTGTCCAAGATTGAAGTTTTCGAAAATACGTCAAAGTCCAAGGTCAAGGTCAAAGTTGTTGGTATTCAAAGGAAGGTCTTGTCACAAGGATTATATATGTGAAGTATGAAAGCCCTAGCACCAACGGTTCAAAAGTTATGGCCAATGTTAAAGTTTTACAAAAGTAAGTCAAACTCCAAGGTCAAGGTCAAAGGGTCAAAGTGGTTGGTATCCGAAGAAAGGTCTTGTCACAAGGATTACATATGCTGAGTATGAAAGCCTTAGCTCCAACCATTCAAAAGTTATGGCCAAGGTTAAAGTTTTTCAAAAGTAGGTCAAACTCCAAGGTAAAGGTCAAAAGGTCAAATATGGTGGTACCCAAAGAAAGGTCTTTTCACAAGGAATACACATGTGAGTATGAAAGCCCTAGCACCAATCGTTCAAAAGTTATGGCCAAGGTTAAAGTTAGGGAAAATTTTGTAAAACTGGGTCAAACTCCAAGGTCAAGGTCAAAAGTTCAAATATAGTGGTACCCAAAGAAAGGTCTTGTCACAAGGAATACACATGTGAAATATGAAAGCCATAGCTCCAACCAATCAAAAGTTATGGGCAATGTTAAAGTTTTTGCAGACAGACAGACAGACAGACGGATGGACAGGGCAAAGACTATATACCCCTGAATCTTTGATAGGAGGCATAAAAATACATAATGCACTCTTAAGATAAAAATAAAGTTATTAAGATATGTAAATACTTGTACTTTATGTATAATTTTAGAATACATATATGACATAATATATCCAGACTTTGTTCAACGATAATAGTGGAGAATGTTTATAAAATACTACATTTCGCAGTCCAAAAAAATACTTATCTTTTTATGACTCACCTAAAAGTCAGACACAGAGTTTTGGACCAAAATTTAACTCGCAAAAAACCGCTTATAGGCGAGTATACTATACATGGTAGATGCATCATCCATGAAACCCGGATCAATATGGGGCAGGAATTACTTGGAAATTAAATAAACCCATTTCAATCTGGCATGTCAGCACCAAGACATACAGTTTCATTAATGGTGGTGTGCCTCAAGCACTTAAACTGACAATTACTGTATACAGGGAAATTTTCGCACCCATTTTATTTTCGCCCCTTTCGCCCTCTTTGCTAGTGGGTGAATTTAAAACGGGGCAAATTCAAAATAGACAGCATAATCTTTTAAGCAAAAACTTTGCCTGGGTGAATTTAAAGCGGGGCAAAATTGTTTGCAAGTGTTAAAGGGTGAAAATAACATGGGGCGAAAATAACCCTGTATACAGTATCTACATTTTGTTCTGGACAAGCAATTCTTACTTTTGTTTCTATACACAGGATTCCAAGACAATTTGGATAAAATAATGAGCGTAGTGACCGGCCAAAAAGTTCTGATCCAACTTGTCCCATGATATTTTGTCCAACTAGCTTTTCCATATCTGTTGAATCTTCATGAGAAATTTCATCTTTTCTGGCCTAAAATTGAAGGATAGCAAATGTTAGGTGTAACAAGTAAGTATTTGGCTTATAGAAATATAAAAGAAATACTGTGAAACATGTCTTATCCAGATGATGTGTAATACAAAATTTTGCCTAATACAATCTAAGCTGTAAGTCCATTACACTGAATTCCATTGTTTAAATAGTTGTCTAAACCAGAATGTTGTCTAATCCGGCCAATTTATTTGGAACCAGTGGTGTCTGGATAATACAAGTTTTACTGTACCGGTATTTATTAACAGAAATGGAAACCGTATATGCCCCACACATTTCATGGCAGGGGAATAAAAAGATGCTACCAAGATCTTCATGGATTATTTATGCAGAGTTCATAATTTTACTCATGGTTTATGAATAATTCCAAATCATCTGGCAGGAGTGTTTTGGAAACTAAACGAATCCTGGGGTCATGAACTTTTTAAACCTGGAAGAGGACACATTGCTCATAATAACCATGCAGACAGTTTGCTTCCTTGATGCCCAGGAGTAAAGAAGAATTTTTTAAGATATTCATAGGATCTGTCAAGGTTTGTGGTTGGATGTGATTTTATCCAACAAGTTTGTGTTTTCTATCCCAGAGATTCATAGTTTACTTTTCTAACAGTCATTGGGAAGGCCATCAAGGTCCATGGGACTATGGCGCAACTGTCATAGTTTCTAATGGGCCATCTATATATTCTAATGGGCCATTTTAAGAAAAAACAAAATGATAAACAAATGTGAAATACGAACGGCAACACGTTTCTTTATTAACCAAATCTTATTTTTCACGTATGCAGTGTAGTATATTAAAAGGAACCTGCAAACAATATAATTTTCTCATATATTGAATCAATAACGTCAAACTTTCAATGAAACATTGGAAGTGTATACCTTTGTTGTCCTAAATAAAGCGCCTCATGTAACAGGAAGCAGTTTTTGCTGGGTTTTTAACCAATGACATTTGTTGTATTAAAATAACTGCATTTAAAAAGAAAGTAAAACAAGCAAGAAAGTCGTACAAAAATATTTTCAACTAACATCGCTTAATTTTGAATGCCCACCTTGGCGCCACCAGTGGTTGATTTAATGCGCCAATTTTCACTTCAATGTGACTATGGCGCATGGCGCAAGCCCTTCCCAATCACTGTTCTAACACAATTTTAATATATGAATCTATTTTCTTTGACTCTCTCACTTTCATGCAAAAAACCACTGTGATATGAAAACGATGTCATATTACTATCCACTGTATTAAGGAGTAAACATATATGATAAATTGCAATACAAGATAATTTTACCTAACCCTTGGGGCATGATATTTGTTGTTTAAAGTCCCTCTCGAGAATTTTTCACTCATATGGAGATGCCACCACTTATCAGTGGAGAGCTGCAAATTTTGACCTATACTCGGCACTCAGAGCCATTGAGCAGTAAGGGATCTTTTTCGTGCCAGCATCTACTGCGACACGGGACCTCAATTTATACAGTCTCATCCAAAGGACTGGTCTCCACGTCCCACAGTGGGAATTGAACTCGTGAAGTGAGGATTAACTCCTTACTCCACAACTCTAGAGCAGACACTCTACCAATGCGCCATGCTGGTGACAAAAAAGCATGATAATTATAATACATCAATGAGATTACCTCTACAATGAAGAAGAGTTCATCTGGAGGATAGCCACTATCAGCGAGGTAGTTATACACTCTATCTGGTGTGGTCCACACTGTACGGTTCTCAAAAGTAAAACATCCTGCATGTACTTCACTGAAAAAAAAAAAAAAAACTGTAAAAATTCTCAGAACACTAATAAATAGCATGAATAGGTTTTGATATTCAATGTGGTAATTACAAAATGATTAGTTGGATATTTTTGGGGCTTGGTGATGATCCCCTTTGGTTCAAGAATTTTGACACAAATCAGAATTTTGACATAAATCAGAACCATGTGTTACCTTGACCTTATAAAAGTGTCCTTGATTGACTGTTGTTTCATGTCCCTTGCAAGAATTTTTCATGCATTTGAGATGTCACCACATACCAGTGGAGGGCTTCAAATTTGGACCTTTACTTGGAACTAGGGCAATTTAGCAGTGAGGGTTCTTTATCAACTCCTAGTGTGCCACAGGACCTCAGTTTTTAAGGTCTCATCCTAAAACCTGTCTTTCACTTCTAGTGCCAGGCACTTCATGCACTTGGCGTAGGAACAATCACTACCTAGTATGTTAACATTGTAGGTTTGATGCAGTGCCAAGAACGAGAATCAAACATGGTATCTCCTGAACACCAAGCAAGCACTCTAGCTACCACTAGTCTGGACTTAGTCATGACTTGAATGAAGGTGATAACATACCAAAAGAACTTTTGGGTCAAATATAAGCCTCTAATGCTTCTCTGATATAAAGATATGACACAGTGATGCCGATATACCCTTCCAAAGATTTTTTGGAGGGATGGGGATCATATATAAATGGAAACTACAGCTTTAATAACCTATTGTTTGACTTTAAGGTGGGGTCATTCATTCTTTGTTTTTAGTAGATTATATAACAAGCATGCCATATGCAGGTTAAATTGGTAAACCATGTTAACCTGCATTGAAACCCAGATAGCGCGTGTCACATGAAGAATCTGAAGCCTCATTGGTGACAAACACCCGTAATATAACCTCTTAATCGTTATGTTAATGTAGGAGTAAAAATATATTAAACATTCTGCAACTCGGACACATCAGAGCCATGGTGCCCATAACTATCTATCCTTAGAAATATCATCAATGCACTTCACATACACTTAGGAATTGACCTGCTGTATATTAGCTTATAAGCTTAAACTTGATCATTCATCTCAAAGATATAGGTCAACATATATGTAATTGCCAGTATGCCTCCCAAGACAAAACATACAAGTAAGTTCTGTCAATGTAAATATGATCTCCTGTGCAGTACCATTTGGGCAAGCTAGGTCAAGATTTAAGAAACAGTGGAATCTGTTAAAGCTGAATATTGGTATTGATATACAGTTGAGCCTCATTAATCTGGATATATTTTCTCCAGCAAATCCTCTTGATTAATGAAGCACCTGGATTACTGTAGATATAAATGTTAATTCTGTTCCCAAAAATTTCATTCGAAAGGTGACTCTGGAGATCTGTAAGATCACTCTGGATTAATAAGGCTCCACTGTACATCAACTACTGCTTTGTGCTCATGATCTATACTTACCCTGAAACTAAAAAGAACATTCTCCCAAATATATCAAAGTAATTCTTGAGAAAATTCCCAGAGATTTGCACAAACTCTGTATCCTGACAACCATGTAATCCCCCTTGCCCTCCTCTGGACTGTTCTCTAGCTTTTCCACCATGATGACCCTTTGACCCTTGACCTCTAGCTCTTCCACCTCTCCCTTCATCACTCTCCTTTTCAAGTAGTATCTTTCTGACAAGTTGAATGGTCTCCCCAGCAAATGTCTGCACAGCAAAATCCAACACATCTATCAGTTTTTGTGCACTTTTCTTTGTAGATGGATCCAACGCTTCATAAAATCTGAATTGAAAAAAAACCCTGTTTTTCTCTTATTTGCTTTTTTTTCCCTCTTTGCTATTTAGGACTATTTCATCAAATGGAATACAATGGTAGCATCATGTGTAGAAGTTCTACGAAAATGCTGCAGTTTGACTGATACAGAAGGAAGAAAACTTTATACCTAACATACTTATACATGGAACCTACCCTGAAACAATCCAAAAAGTGTCCTCCACATTTTGCAGTGGAATGTAAACCCACTAGCTAAAAATTATTTTCTTAATATGAAGCAGAACTACTCAGCATTATTAGCTATGAGTTCTAATGGGGGTAAACATTGCTTAGTAGAATGAAATCAATGAATATATTATTTTATGTCCAGTAATGGATGCTACAATGTTCATCAAAATAAATAAAAAATTAATAAAAAGATCTATGGATCAAGATGATGTGTTATTTGAGTTTTTAAAAAAATCAAATATTTACTTTTGCAAAAACTTTAAATTACTCCATGTTAGGAAGATTTCGTTTCTAGGACTCCAGTGGTTGTTTAAAGGAATATTTTTGTGACCCCAACGGTGAGCCCATTTTTGCCTTTTCTTGATTATCTTCCTTAAGTACAGGATTTGGCCCTTCATCAGATCAAATTTCTATCTACGGATGAATTGTGGCAATAAAGTTTGGCTGAAATTTGCCCAATATCTCTGGAGAAGTCGAAAATGTGAAAAGTTTACAGATGACAGAAGCCAGACAGACAACAGAATATTTTTGATCATAAAAGCTCACTTGAGCCTTTAGCTCAGATGAGCTGAAACTTTCTAATCAGAAAAACAGACTTTGACCTCAGGTAACCATGGTAACTTATCACTTACTGGTTCTCATTAAGCAATTTTTCTGAGTTTTTATTCCATTGCTGCAAATATTTCTTCATCTCCTTCAGTATCATGCGCACCTCAAAGTAAGGATTGCTATACACACGATCATCTCTAAGATCTGTCGTATCGTACGAAAAGGCCAAATTTTCAAGATGTCTCTTCAAAACACTGTTCATTCTGCTGGAATCAGGGCAAAAACCTTTCGCATTCATAAATGCATCTTTCACTTCTTTGATAAAATTTTCCAAGGGTGTCTTCTCATAACTGATATTTAAATTCATCAGATCCTTATACGTCCAATGACGTGCAGAGTCGTTTTCTTTGTGCTCACTCCAGCAGCTTGAATCTGTCTCGCCTTCATCTTCATCACCAGTTGTATAATCCGAGTAAGGGGAGGATGGCTCTTTCTCTCTTGCCTGTAATTCTGCCTTTTTGTAGCTTGGTGTTTCACTGTCCAAGTCCTTCAAGAAACAGAAAAATATGCATAAGGAAAACTGTAAATACAGTTGAACTTCAGTATCTCGAACACTGATATCTCGAATACCATGGGTATGTTGAAGTGATTGGGAAGTTCTAACCACGTTTTTCTTAAGTATTTTACCCTCAATATCTCGAACCCTCGGATATCTCGAAGTGTTTTCTTGGTCCCATCAAGTTTAAGATAACGAGATTTGACTGAATTTAAAAAAAATGCCCAGGGTCCACCATGCTCACCTGAGTAATCTTATCTCTGCTTCAGAAGATTTTTAATGTAAAATATTGAATACAAATTTTACCCCACCATGAGTCTGCACTATACTTGGATGCTTGCAAATTATTATTACTGTTGCATTGCTGTGTTTGAGATGAAGACTTTTCCCCTATGTATTTCAACATGAATATTTTACCTCTTATTTGTAGCCAACTTAATCCTTTGGGCCATGGTTTGAATAAATCTAGGAAAACTTGCATAATAAGATTTATTTTTTTGTTTGAACCTTCCTGCAAATTATCTTTAACATTATTTCCTACATACTCCCATGTAAAGATCTGATCTCCTATTCTGGCTAAACACTATACTTTGGAGGACAATTATTTGAACAAATATGAATCTGCACTACATGAAGATGCTTGCGTATTAATATCACTAATCATGACATTGCTGATTTTGATTTTTTAGGATTTTGTCCTACTCCATATACAGTCAAACCTCGTTATCTCGAACTCGATGGGACTGAGAAAATACTTCAAGATATCTGAAGATTCGAGATATTGAGGGTAAAATACATAAAGAATAAGTGGTTGGGACCTCCAGTTCACTTTGACATATCCATGGTATTCAAGATATCAGTGTTCGAGATACTGAAGTTCAGCTGTATTTATTCTTATTAAATAAACCTTTGATCACTTATGGTGGCCCAATCCTACCAGAGAAGGGGGCTATGAATTAAACTAACTAACATCTGCACTAAACATGCTAAATGAGGATGCTTACATATAAATATCAATGATGATGAGGCCATGTTAACCCCTGGGTTGAGGGGGTGCACCATTTAAGTGAAGTAACTTGCCCATGCTTACAATGATAAAGCAGAGTTTTTATTGTCCGACTATATTTGAATCTGGAACTGTTAGGTCTGAAGCCATCCATTGCACCATCACTTCATTATATACAGTGTATATTGAGATTCTATACAAGAAGATATATGTGTGAAATGTAAGAAACATGCACATAAACATGTGCTGATATCTGATTGGTTAATATACTGATAGCAGTAACTCAACAGGTTTTCAATGAAATTCTTAATAGAAATTTATATGGCAATTTCTGAAAAACAGGTATATAGATTTTGTGTGGAAACGAAAGTGTTACAGACTGACAGAAATACAGACAGACGGACAGACAGACCAAAATTAATATCCCCCACTTTCAGGGGACAAATAGGCCTGTGAAGGTCCATTTTGATTAAATCTTATTTAGTAGAATAGGAGAATATTATTGTGGATAAGAGATGAGAAACACTTTTCAAGTGGGGGGGGGCTATAAAAAAAATTTGGATGAGAATCTAGAATTTTTTATTATGGCCTTTCAGGTAACTTACTTCACTTTTTCGAGTTCTCTTGATCAAAGGTTCAGGTGAATCTTCATCAGGATCACATGCTTCTCTGTTTTTAGTTGACTTGGCCAAGGGCTCAGGTAGTGCCATTTTTTTAATCTATTCAATTACAAATCAAATGTTATAATAAGTTTCTAATGATGTCTAGGTTTATCCTTCACTTAAATAGCTAAATCAGGGATCTTTATATTAACTACTTATTATTTAATATATTCTCATTATATCGCGGGTTCCATTGTATGGCGGTATTTTCCAAAAATTAGGATATATAGCTCATATCCTTTTTGTTGATGGACTATCTGTCTGTCATCTGAATGTTGACTTTTGTGATGGTTAAAAAGTACGGAACACCTGTTGGAAAAATATTTATTCAAATAAAATGAAATTTTACAGATGTCCATTCCCGTTTTATTTTTATTTAGACCATTGAATATATAACATGGTTGTGGATAACCACTTGCCCACTCACAAATGCCAGTAAAATTTGCTGTAGGCGATTAGATATTAAAAATCTGGTCGCCCACATGGCGAACGTTTTTTTTTCCCCAGAACATAATCACATTTCAGTTTTATATTTTATGCATGTATTTTCAGTTTTTAAGAAAATGCTCTACTAACCCAGATTATTTGTGTTGCGTACAAGCATATTATTCAAACATGTACGTGACTGAGATCAAATATGGCGATTTATTGAAGTGGTTAACAGTCTAGACAAACTCCCATGAACTCCGAAAATGAAGTATTTGGCTCCATCATGCATTGCGGCAAAATGGCGTCCGATGTATACAAACAATGGATTGTCGTTTACTTTCTCCAAATATATGGCTGTATAATGGCTGTATTTAGTCCATTGTGACTTTATTTCAATTTTTGTTGAATGGATAATTACATTTATTAAATTTTTTGTGGATATTGACTTATTTATCAATTCAAACTTGCATAATAATAAATTGGATATACGACATCGAATTCAATACTGCCGGTAAGAATTATCTTATTATTTGATTTATTGTCTCATTGATTTAAATTTTTAATCGTTCCTACAATAAAGGTGCTTTTATTTGTTTTTGATGATATAATATATCAGACACCCAGCTTGTATTTATTTTAATCAGGAAATGCGTATTTTTCACCACGAAGCAGAAATATTAACAGGTTCATTTTTAGAAGAATATTGTGACCTTAATTTCTTGAAGAGTGTTTTTTAAGTTTTCATATTGATAGATAATAGTTTTAAAAATGTTTTCATACTAATATCTGTTCGTATGTGGTAAAAATCGGTAAATAACATTGGTAAGAACTTGTGCGTTCGATTCAGATGTCGAACACAAATTAAAAACCGCAATGCTAATTTATGTGTAAAATTCAGTCAAGTTTTTAACAGTTACAATATATATTGTCTCATTTTGCATATATATCCCTTTTATTAGATGCATATTTACTTCTCAAACATATAATTTTCTCTGTAATAGATCTGACTTCAAACGTCATTGCAGACTTTGAAAATAAATATCTCCTTTTCTGCAAATAAAATAAAAAATCTCACAAATACAATCTCTTCCGAAGTCTTTAATTTAACATTTTTGACTACTGGCATAATTGCCATACTTTCCAAAACTTTGCACGGACAGTTTTTGTAAACCCATCATTTTTGCCAAAAAATCGTCAATTTTTGTGTGTGTGCGCATGCGCGAACTCTATTTTCGGAGTCTTTTTCAGTCTCAATTTCTTACTTCTGGAAACACTGTTTTTGGAGTTCATCTAGACTGGTTAAATCTCTGTTAAAGAATTTGAATTACCGTGTCAAATGCACAATAAAAGATCGGAACCAAACTTCATCATAGGTAATTTAATATGCCCCCTTGTTAAACCATAGACGCTTCAGCTGTATAAGGTTAAACACTACAAAATGTAATGAACATATCGGATCAAAGTTTTTAGAAAAGAGATAACGTGACAAAAATTCGTATACTGCAAACATATCGATACTACGAATAAAAAAAATTTATTAAAAATATTTAGGATTTATTGTTGTTGTTATTTTTAATTTACATAGAATGTGGACCCGTGGATCACATTGTGGGCCCGTAAAATTTGAAATGTTGGGGGCCCACATGGCCCCTAAGGTTTCAAAAGTTAACTACAATCCTGTATAACAAAGTAAAATCCATAATAAAGTTCATATTTTGAAAGCCTTATTACATGTACTTGTATTATTGTTAAGTTTATATGTAGATTTACATCAGAAATTAAAAAATAAAAATTGTACTTTGTGACAGTGCCAAGCCTATATGTTTTTCAATACCGCGATACAATGAGACTCTCCACTTTCGGTCCTACTAAACAGAGTACGCTAGAGTACGATAGAGTACTTTAGAGTACGGTGGTAAAATTTTTATAATTTAATGCAAATAAAATGCTTTTTATATATGTTTCTACATATTAAGTTTAACATAATATTAAATATATATCTTGAATAATTTGTGTATGTTTTCATTATTTTCAGAATTATTTCAATTAATCGTTTCTGGTTATGATTTACCGTTTGACCCCGATCCCGATCTAACAATAGAACATTTTACTTCTATCATCAAGATAATAGCTTGTTTTCTTGTCTATTTTACATACACACGTACGTTTAAGTTTTTTGAGGGTCCACTTAACATAGGTATTTTTCATTGAAGTAACTTATATGCACATTATTATTTATATGATATTGAAATAGAATTTATCTATTAATAAAACTTTTTTTTTAGTTAACGTTTATTATTTGTATGTGATACTGAGTTGGGGTTTTAATGTAAAATTTTTTCAAAAACATAATTTACAACATGTACAAGAAAATAAATCATTATTTTTTTATTTAGTTTCAAATTGGATGAGTCATTGATGTAATTTTCTCGAATCAAAACAAAAATCGGGATGTCAGCTTATATTTTCTGGTCAAAATATCGCTAAAAAACAAAATTTTGAGACAAATATTGCAATGTTATTTTAAAATGATGTTTATTTAAGTTGTTTGTATATATGTAAACAATCTAATTACATTGAATTATAAAATTTTACCAGCATACTCTAAAGTACTCTATCGTACTCTGTTTAGTAGTACCCCTCCACTTTAGGAGGTAAATATAAAAAATAAACTACAAAATAAACGAAGAAAGATTAGAAATTAATTAGCCACTAAAAAGTAAGGCCATTGATAGGTTTATGAATACTATTTGGTGAAAAGTTAATGTAAGAATTTTGAATAACTTTTTCACACAAAAGAAATAAGTACCGCGATGTGACACCAGTATACACATGTACAGGTACCATAGTTGCCAACTCACCCGATTTCGTCGGGTTACACCCGATTTTTCGACCCTTAACCCGATTATTATTTATGACTCGGCGGGTCATACTTTTCACCCGATTTTTTCCGAACAACCCGAAAATCTCCCGATTTCCGGATTTGGTTCCTAAATTAGGTTACACTTTTTACTTCCAGTTACAACCCAAACTTGGATATACGTAAACATTGCCGATGGTTATGTTCAGTACGCAGTGTACCAGTAAATTATCAGTGCAGGTGTAAACAATTACCTGGGAGTTGTTTTGACAAATCAAAGTTTGAAGCCAGTTTAAACTGGCTTTCGATAGAACGAGATCGTTATCAGGGCCAGCAGGACAAATTGAACTAAGAAAAAGAGAAATGATATTTATGTACATAGCAAGGAATTTTGGAAAAAACTTTTATTAGATAAAGTGTTTGAAGATAGTGTAGGCATAACTGTAAATTTAATAGCACTTGTTAATAAAATTAATTCGGGAGAGGAAAAATAACTTCCAAACCAAGATTGGAAAACTTTCAAATTTAGTACAAACTTTCCATGTGCTTCAAATCAGCAATGCAGATTCTGAAAAGACTTTCTTTTTAAAAAATATCCACACTTAATTCAGGTCATTACTGAATACTGAAACCTGATGCTCTTTTAACATTTAAATTTAATATAAATTAATTTTTTGTCATTGTAAGCTAAAGCCTCATTTTAATAAAATAATTCTCAAAACACAAATGCTTATATATACATATATGTATTTAATTTAATCATGGTAAATGTGTCGTGAATGTCGTTACGCGTTATGACCAGATTTTTTACTTTCCAAATCTGGTCATGACCAGATTTTTAGATGTTGGAGGTTGGCAAGTATGACAGGTACATCATGTACAGTGGGTACACTGGCTTAATCAAGATACCTTCAATGGACAACTTTCACATTTGCGCGAGTTATGTAAGGGGGGAAACAACTTTTGTATGAAACTTCATGGGTAATTGAATCCATGTTAAATGTTTTCGGAGGAAATAAAGAATGAATGTCAGAACAAAAAATGCAGTAGTGCTTTCTTTTTTACCAAAACAAAAGTAATGCAAAAATAGTTAACTTTCAAGTATGATCGCTGTCAAGTTCGGCGACTGGGATGTAAATCAATTGTGACAATCCTTGAAAAACACTCACCAACTGATAATATTCGTAAACGATGACATGAAGAAATCTTCTTGTCCATCTCCCGCTTTTTAAAAAATTAATTTCGGTATACCGAACCCGATGCTGACTCGTTTCCGCGAAGTATTCCATTTCACGCCTACCTTCCATTTCAGACCAAAATGTCCAGTCATCTATGAATTTTTTTTTGAGCGGATACTTGTCGTATGTATATGTACTGAGTATTTTTGTTTTGTTTTGTTTGTTTTTTTTGAATACTTTACTCGAAAATCTTGCATGTTCTTCATATCTGGCAACTTCTTAAATTTTTTGGTCCCAAGACACCCGCCCCCACCTCCTCCCACCCCACCCCACTACAAATTGGGTGGAACATTTTAAAGACAAAACATTTTAGTAGAATTTATCCCCCCCCCTTGAAAAAAATAAGGGGAAAAAACTCAACATGTTCCAAACTATGTCTTGAAAATTTAGCATTATCGGTATTTCATAAATTCTGTTCATCATTATGTTTCTGAATATTTGCTGTGTTGTATGAAAATCTCTGACAGCTGAAATATACATATGTAGCTATGAAATGCCATATTATATTCATAAATGTTTATATATCTGTTGTACTGATAACAGGGTTTGGGAGTCAGGTCAGCCGGACAATAAAGGGTATTCTAGTCACAAAGCCACGTACAACACTAGTTAGACCAGTCAGTTATAAACGTTTTCACAATATACACACGGAAAATGTTGGGTATACTATGTAATGAAAATAAAATATTGATAAACTAAAAAAAATAAATAAATAAATAAAAGGTGATAAAATCACACACCATAAACAAGAAAAAAAGTTCACACTCCTGTCCGGTCCTCCCTTTATCCCCCCCCCCTCCCCCCGCCAAAAAATGTCAAGTTCAATATAAATCATTGCTTCTAAAAAATTATTCATCGGAAAAAGGGGTGTTAAATGAGGGTTTTACTCACAGTATTTTATATCCTTGCAAGGTAGGAGCTTCTGGGGGGTTGACTCTATGTAAGATTTGATTCCACAGACGTTAAAATATTTATAATTCTCATAATTAGGATTTTGGGAGGACTTAAGAAAATTGTGTCATATAAGGGTGTATATATTGAGTTACCTATAGTTTATTTTCAACAAAGGCTGCCTGCCATATTTCTCAGTGAAAAAAACATTTAAAGATGTAACAGGGGAGGAGAAAAATGCGACGGACCAGACCGGGATTCGAACCTAGGCCCTATAAATCTTAAGTCAGATACTCTTTTTTTTGGGGGGGGGGGATTCGAACCCTGGCACCTGAATCTAAAGTCAGGTACTCTACCAACTGAGCTATCTGGCTCCGGCGATCGAACCATCCCTCTCCCATATATAGATGACGTTATTTCCTTGTAAACATATATTTCGTATAAGAAGAGGTATTTAAAATTTACACGATCGAGATAGCTATCCTTCATTTTGTTTTCAAATTAAGAGTGTCAAGTTTGTCCAAAAAGTACATGAACCTTTTTTTTTATCTTGCAAAAAGTATATTTTTTTAGGTTCTGAAACCTATAATTTTCTGAAACGTAATACTTTTAATTGAATAAAATTTGCATGTGTCTTGCAAAAATTCTACTTTATCAATTTTTCCCGTTTTTCCGTCACGGTGTCTCTTTAAATAAAATTGGTTGAGCAGTTACTGATTACAGTTTATATATACGTCTTTAATTTTTTTTCCATGGCAACAGTGACAATTTTTAATCTTTTATTTACATGCACAACTAAACTTAGTGGTATAAATATTGTGAAGTTTCAATAAGATTGTTCAAGCCATTTGGAAAAACTCGGTTGAAATATAATTGGAAAAAAATCGGAGCAATAAAATTATTGTGTTAATTCGTTCGGGTGATCGAAGAAAAGCAATGATCCGTAGAGGTACTTTCTCCTCAGAGTTTTTTTTTGGGGGGGGGGGGGTTTGTTTTGTTTTTTTTTGTTTTTGTTTTTTTTTTTTTTGAATATTCAAAACTTGTTCCTTTTTCAGAAACCAGATTTGAATTGATACGTAGAGAAAATTTCTCTGCAAGTAGCCTTATTTAATATTAAATTATTTATTATCAATGAATAAAAAATTACTTTTTTCGTGTTGTGACTTTACATTTTCAATGTGCTTATTCTAAAATTTTTGGCCCACAGTGTTCACTGTAATACATGTATTGTTTTGTACACGTCGCTTATAGAAGAACACGTCGCTTATAGTAGAATATACTGCCTGATTATCTTTGCAGTCGAAAAACTTTTGAAATAATAGAAAACACTAAAATTTGCATTATAGATATTCCATGTCACTTGGTACAGAAAATCCTTTCATTAATTGATTTTCTCTTAAGTGGCGGGATACATGCCAGCTCTAAATAACAGCTTTATAAACTGATTATAAAAGCCAGTAAGACAGAGAGGTTGTACTGAAAAACAACTTCGTATCTTTTGTAGTTAAGAACAAATCCCTATATTGTCAAACATAACCGGAAGTGCGGATGTATACATTTAAGTGATATTTGAAACATTCAATTTCGAACGGAAGTCATGAAAAAAAAAGAAAGATCTGATAAAATTAACAAACGAAGAAAAAAATAGTTTTTGTTTGAAAAAAAAAATATTCTCAAAGATGTTTTGCCATTGTGATAATATTAGATGAAATGTTCGAATGAAAGAGACGTATGTTTCTTGGAAGTTTGAATTTGTAAGTATTAGCTTTAATGAAAATAACCACTGATTTGTTATAACAGAAAAAATATATTTATATGTTTATTTTAATTTCTTTGTGTTGGAGAGGACAATCTAAGTTAGTAGAACTTGTGTCCAATCCTATTGATAATGTTTCAATAATTTACTCATATATGTAAACTCTCCTTTTCTACTTTTTTCAGACGAAAATGAAGAGGCTCATTTTATTGCTGCATTCATGTTGTGTCCATCTTTTTGTTGATACAATGGAATTATCAGGTAGGTCTTTTTCGCTTGCATTTCTTTAAATTAAAAAAGTGACTCCCATGCATTGTCTCTTGACAATTATGAATCATGGGGGGGGGGGGGCTCTTTTTTCTTGACACTAAGAAAGGTACAACGTTTTGGAGATGGCATAGAGGGAAGTTAAATAACGTTCTTGAAGAAAATCGGAGAATAGCAAAAATGGATCTGGAATGAAAGGGTTGTACTGTTTGAGCATAAGCAAAGAATGTCAAAACTGTGCCTTAGTTTTGACAGACTCTTGGAAGGTGGTGGGGTTAATGAAATGTAAATTCCAATTTTTCTTTGTTAAATATCACTGCAATTCATCACATGGAAATAACGTTAATGGTAACCTAACGGCAAAACTGTGATAAACATGATGACTTCAACTTTTCTATCGTCAACTTCCCTTACTTATGTAGCAATATAGCATTACAACCTACATATGGAGTTTATGTCTCCCAGTTCATTCGATACGCAAGTGATCTACGTACGCACAATTTCTTAAACGAGACAAGCTATGGTCAAATAAGTTGATGAAACAAGAATGTGCAAGTCTGTGTGATTTACACACCAATAATTCACACTAAACTTAAAAACATTCCATATATTTACATTTTACATGTTCAAAAGCACCAAAAATATACTTAATGTTTGAATTATTCGCAGCCATATTTCGTTACATTTTTATTAACGTCTCTGTAGCTTATTGTGATGTCACTTTAGCGCGAGTTCCTCCATGTATATTTCTACGCGTGAGTATACAAGAAAATGCCGTTGTAATCAATTTCATAGTTGGCTTAGTAGAAAAATACAGCAAATGTAAATATATTATGTCCATATATTTTGCCATTGAATTTTAAATCAATTAAGGGATCGGTTCTCGATGATCATTTTTTTTCCAGAGATCTTGCCAATTAACCGCCAGTTTTGCAATAGACATATCCTGTGAAATGTTGAAAACAAAATGATTTACTTCTCATACCTATTTTTACAGTGAATTGTGACTTTAAAACGAATCTTTGTAACTGGACTGCCCGAAGAAAAACAGACATTCACATCAGAAAATGGATTCAGCTCTGTGGATTTCAGGGAAGAATAAAGAACTGTATCAACACAAACAAAATTTACCCCGCTAATCCTTGGAAAGTAGGAACCATCACAAACAACAGCCTTTATGACTTACCACCAGGTAAATCACCAACCACAGCCTGTATAACATATACCACAAGGTAAATCACCAACCATATCCTGTATAACATATACCACCAGGTAAATCACCAACCACAGCCTGTATAACATATACCACAAAATAAATAACCAATCACAGGCTGTATAACATACCGCCAGATAAATAACCAATCACAGGCTGTATAACATACCACCAGATTAATCACCAATCACCGGCTTTATAACATACCACCAGGTAAATCATCAATCACCGGCTTTATAACATACCACCAAGTAAATCACCAATCACAGACTCTATAATATACCAATAGATAAATCACCAATCACAGGCTTTATAACACACCGCCAAATAAATCACCAATCACAGGCACTATAACATACCATCAGACAAATTACCAATCACATCTTGTATGTACAATTAACTACAGAACGATCTTCAATACAGGCTGTATTAATTTCGTACATGTGTCACAGTCCATACATGTGTCACCAATCACAGGCCGTAAATATACCACCAGGCCTAGGAAAATCATCAGTCACATATCACCAATCACAGTCTGTGTAACATACCATAAGATAAATCATAAATCACATATCACCAATCATAGTCTGTGTAACACACCACCAGATAAATCATCAGTCACATATCACCAATCATAGGCCATGTAACATACCACCAGATAAATCATAAATCACATATCACCAATCATAGGCCATGTAACATACCACCAGATAAATCATCAATCACATATCACCAATCATAGTCTGTGTAACATACCACCAGATAAATCATAAATCACATATCACCAATCATAGGCCATGTAACGTACCGCCAGATAAAACATCAATCACATATCACCAATCAAAGGCCGTGGCGCAGTGGTTAGAGCGTTCACTCTAGAGTCACGGAGTAAGGAGTTGAGCCTTACGTCGTGGGTTCGAATCCAACTGTGGGAAGTGGAAAAGGTCCTTCGGATGAGACCATATAAACCGAGGTCCCATGTCGCAGTAGGTGCTGGCACGAAAAAGATCCCTCACTGCTCAATGACCCTGAGTGCTGAGCATAGGTCAAAATTTGTAGCTCTCCACCGGCAAGTGGTGGCGTCTCCATATGAGTGAAAAATTCTCGAGAGGGACGTTAAACAATAAACAAAGAAACAAAAACCAATCAAAGGCCGTGTAACACACCTCCAGATAAATCATCAATCACATATCAGCAATTATACAGGGAATAGACCCCGGTAAAATTAATCATAACTGTCCTTAAAACACCAATACCCCAATGTCGCATGTGTACTAAAAAGAACACGTATGTTGTATACGTAGGAGCAAAAGACACGTATGGCTTGCACCTTGCCCCCCTTTATTGTGGTGATATTCAGATACATAAAAAGGAGGTAAAAAATGTTGAACGTGACATTCTCTCGCTTGGAAAAATTTTTATTTTATAAGCTTGTTACATTAAAGGATTTTGCTTATTTATCGTACAAATAACTCAACATTTAATCGGAAGAGTTCAAGACTCTTGAACAATTCCTGCCCTTATGAACGTTCTGATACTTTCGTACTTAAGTAAACATGTTCCACTATCACCACAATACTAAACAGACATAATTTGTACAAAGTAATAAACAGATCAAGATAATCAAGATACTACTGGACTCTGTTTACCAGATGCAGGCTATAGAAAATGTTTAGTAAGACCGTCAGCACATCGAATTCATAAAAAAAGAGTACGTTCATTTTTCTACTTAACACAAGGTGTCTTAAGAAATTTCTTTTGTATCCCTATGGGAGGGGATGGGCCACGGTTCCAGTTTCCAATGTTACTGTAATAGAATCAATTTAAAGTCCAAATAAACTTTGTAGTATTGTAATAAAATTGTAATTTTTCTCAATCGATATTCAATAATTTATTTCGCAGATTTAAATATGACGGGCAGGAAATTCGCCTATAGCGATAACACCAACTATAATGATTTGCTTGTGTCCTACCCTCCTCATAATGTCAGTTCACGGCTGTTATATTCACCCAAAATATTGGCCACCTCCCGGCTCCGGTGTTTAAAGTTTAAATTTCTAGTGACGGGTAGGTCCCACTTGCTAATATCATACTCGAAAGACCTAAGAGACATCTACGTCAACATCCCACTCCGGACGTTCGCAGTACCCACTACAATGCACCGCTTGCAGTATGGATTCATCAAATTGCCGTTTGCGAAAGAATTCAGGGTTTGTAAAATATAACAATTTCTGTTACTTATTTCAATGACAAAATAATTTATTAGATTAAGGCATTTTATATATAATAAAAGATTCGCCTTACCTTTTACATTATATTTAAATATCTGAATATACATGTAGTGTATTATAGTACAATTTTGATGTCCAATGAATGTGAAAAATGGAAATACAGAGATTTATTATCAGTAGTACGCAATCATATTTAAAAAAAGATCAGAATTAAAAAAAATCAAATAAAAAATCAAAAGGAAGGAATACACGATGACCAAAAGATCAATTCAAATCTTTTCAGAACGCGGTGAGGAGTTTAATATTGCTGTCTTACTTTTGTACAATCTTTCAGTTACATTTTCGCTGTTTTTGATAACGATGTGATAAGTCTTAATTAATTTTTGTACAATTTTTCAGTTACATTTTAGGGCTCTTTTTGAGAATGATGTGACGGGTCTTATATTGTTTACTTTTATACACTTTTTCAGTTACAATTTTGGGCTGTCTTTGAGAACGACGTAAAGGGATTTATATTGTTTACTTTTGTACAATTTTTCAGTTACAATTTTGCGCTGTCTTTGAGAAAGACGTAAAGGGATTTGTATTGTTTACTTTTGAACACTTCTTCAGTTACAATTTTGTGCTGTCTTTGAGAACGACGTAAAGGGATTTATATTGTTTACTTTTGTACAATTTTTCAGTTACAATTTTGGGCTGTCTTTGGGAAAGACGTAAAGGGATTTATATTGTTTACTTTTGTACACTTTTTCAGTTACAATTTTGGGCTGTCTTTGAGAACGACGTAAAGGGATTTATATTGTTTACTTTTGAACACTTTTGGTCTGTCTTTGGGAACGACGTAAAGGGGTTTATATTGTTTACTTTTGTACACTCTTTCAGTTACAATTTTGGGCTGTCTTTAAGAACGACGTGACGGGGCTTATATTGTTTACTTTTGTACAATTTTTCAGTTACAATTTTGGGCTGTCTTTGAGAACGACGTAAAGGGATTTATATTGTTTACTTTTGAACACTTTTTCAGTTACAATTTTGGCTGTCTTTGAGAACAACGTAAAGGGATTTATATTGTTTAATTTAGTACACTTTTTCAGTTACAATTTTGGGCTGTCTTTAAGAACGACGTGACGGGGCTTATATTGTTTACTTTTGTACAATTTTTCAGTTACAATTTTGGGCTGTCTTTGAGAACGACGTGACGGGTCTTGTATTGTTGTCTGATGTTGAGCTCAGGGATGGAATCTGCCCTGGTAAGAGCTTGTCCTGTATTAAAAATCTATTTTGCTTCACAAATAAAATAATTGTGGAATTTACAATTATTTTTTCCAATATAGATTCTACAACAAATAAATGTTACGAAGTCGCATGTACAATGTATAAACATGAATATATCCATTATAACGTCAAAATAAATTACTTGTCAAAAAAAAAAAAAAATAAATAAAATAAAATAAAATAAAAATAAAAATACAGCAATCTCTCTTTGTTCAAAACTGAAAGTTTAATGGCATTTTTTGTAACCAATCCTCATATAATTTATGTTAGCATGAGAAAAGAATTGATTTTTTAAAAATTTCATTAGGCACTGAACTACAACATTTCCTCTACCCCTAATAAAATATACCTGTGTAAATAGTATAGCCCAAGTCCCAAATATAATAAGAAAAATTTCTTAAATATTTTATACTTTAATATTGAAAAATATTATCGTTCATCATGCCAGAAACGACTTTAATTAAAATAAAAATGGAAAACTGAGTCGAAGTAAATAATTATAACGTGTTTAGTTTTTACATCAAGTTCTCAGTCCTTCCTCAACATTGATGCATCCTTTTATAGAATTTTAAAAGGAAATATAGACTGAGGTGTATCCTCAATTCATATATCGCAACATATAAAAATTTTGGCTTTAATGTGCTTTATATTTCTTTTTAAGCTTGTTAAAGCAAATCACAAATCAAACAAAGAAAACGTGCGAAAATAGTTTGCTGGTGGAAATTTTAAGATTTAATCTCACATTTTATGTTTTGGCGAAGGGGGCTTAGGTACGGCAATACCCCCTGCAAAAAATAAAATAGTATGTTTGAACAAAATACATGTAAATCAATGATGCTAGGTTTTGTTCATTTGTTATATGATGATAAATGATTTCACGACTGCACTAGAACCCCCAAAAATGATTTCCACTTATAAACAATTCCTGACCTATAAAAGGGGCACTTCTTCCATGCAACCCCATCTGAGGATTTTATTTCCTTTTAAAAATTACAGTGGAGCCTCATCAATCCTGATACCATTATCCAGACAATTTACTTAAAAACACAAGTGTCCGGAGTCGCCCGCGTGGCGCAGAGCGTTTGCTCTAGAGTCGTGGGGTTAGGAGGTGATCCTTACTTCATGGGCTCGAATCCCACTGCGGGAAGTGGAGACCGGTCCTTCGGATGAGACCGTATAAACCAACGTCCCATGTCGCAATAGGTGCTGGCATGAGAAAAGACCCTTCACCGCTCAAAGGCCGTAAAGTGCTGAGTGCAGGTCTAAATTTGCAGCCCTCCACTGGCAGGTGGAGGCATTTCAATATGAATGAAAAATCCTCTAAGGGACTTAAACAAACAAACAAACAAGCAAACATATTTATATATAATTATTAATACTCATATAAAGTATAAATGTTATGCTTATCACTTTTTAGCTCACCTGAGCTGAAAGCTCAAGTGAGCTTTTCTGATCACATTTTGTCCGTAGTCCGTCTGTCCGTCCGTCTGTAAACTTTTCACATTTTCGACTTCTTCTCCAGAACCACTGGGCCATTTTCAACCAAACTTGCCACAAAGCATCCTTGGAAGAAGGGGGTTCAAGTTTGTTCAAATGAAGGGCCATGCCCTCTTCCAAGGGGAGATAATTAAGAATAAGTGAAAATTTGGTGTCTTTTTTTAAAAATCTTCTTCTCAAGAACCATTGGGCCAGAGAAGTTGAAACTTATGGGAAACCTTCATTACATAGTGTAGATTCAAGTTTGTTCAAATCATGACCCCCGGGGGTCGGGTGGGGCCACAATGGGGGATCAAAGTTTTACATAGGAATATATAGGAAAATTCTTTAAAAATCTTCTTCTCAAGAACAACAAAGCCACAATTAGTCATATTGATATGAAATCATCCTCAGGTAGTGTAGATTTAAATTTGTTCAAATCATGACCCCCGGGGGTAGGGTGGGGCCACAATGGGGGATCAAAGTTTTACATAGGAATACATAGGAAAATTCTTTAAAAATCTTCTTCTCAAGAACAGCAAAGCCATGATTTGTCATATTGATATGAAATCATCCTCAGGTAATGTAGATTCAAGTTTGTTCAAATCATGACCCCCGGGGGTAGGTTGGGGTCACAATGGGAGATCAAAGTTTTACATAGGAATATATAGGAAAATTCTTTAAAAATCTTCTTCTCAAGAACAACAAAGCCACAATTAGTCATATTGATATGAAATCATCCTCAGGTAGTGTAGATTCAAGTTTGTTCAAATCATGACCCCCGGGGGTAGGGTGGGTCCACAATGGGGGATCAAAGTTTTACATAGGAATACATAGGAAAATTCTTTAAAAATTTTCTTCTCAAGAACAGCAAAGCCATGATTTGTCATATTGATATGAAATCATCCTCAGGTAGTGTAGATTTAAGTTTGTTCAAATCATGACCCCCGGGGGTAGGGTGGGGCCACAATGGGGGGATCAAAGTTTTACATAGGAATACATAGGAAAATTCTTTAAAAATCTTCTTCTCAAGAACAACAAAGCCACAATTAGTCATATTGATATGAAATCATCCTCAGGTAATGTAGATTCAAGTTTGTTCAAATCATGACCCCTGGGGGTAGGGTGGGGTCACAATGGGAGATCAAAGTTTTACATAGGAATACATAGGAAAATTCTTTAAAAATCTTCTTCTCAAGAACAACAAAGCCACAATTAGTCATTTTGATATGGAATCATCCTCAGGTAATGTAGATTCAAGTTTGTTCAAATCATGACCCCGGGGGTAGGGTGGGGTCACAATAGGGGATCAAAGTTTTACATAGGAATATATAGGAAAATTCTTTAAAAATCTTTTTCTCAAGAACAACAAAGCCACAATTAGTCATTTTGATATGGAATCATCCTCAGGTAATGTAGATTCAAGTTTGTTCAAATCATGACCCCCGGGGGTAGGGTGGAGCCACAATGGGGGATCAAAGTTTTACATAGGAATATATAGGAAAATTCTTTAAAAATTTTCTTCTCAAGAACAACAAAGCCACAATTAGTCATATTGATATGGAATCATCCTTAGGTAGTGTAGATTCAAATTTGTCGAAATCAAGACCCCCGGGGGTAGGGTGGGTCCACAATGGGGGATCAAAGTTTTACATAGGAATAAATAGGAAAAATCTTTTAAAATCTTTTCAAGAACAGGAAAGCCATGATTAGTCATTTTGATATTGAAGCATCCCCAAGTATTGTAGATTCAAGTTTGTTCAAGGCATCCTCCAGTAGTAGGGTGGGGCCATAATCGGGGATCAAAGTTTAACAAAAGAATATATATAAGAAATATCTTAAAAAATCTTCTTCTCAAGAACAACAAAGCCATAATTAGTCATATTGATATGGAAGCATCCTTAGGTAGTGTATATTCAAGTTTGTTCAAATCTTGAACCCCCCCTCCCTTCCTTCCCCCCAGGGTAGGATGGCAGACATCTTTAAAATTCCGTTTCAAGAACAGCAAAACCATGATTAGTTATATGAATATAGAAGCATCCTCAGAAAGTTTAGATTCAATTTCATTCAAAACATGGCAAATGGGGATAGGTTATGCCTAGAACAGTTGATCAAAGCTTTACGTATGAATATATAGAAGAAGAAATCTGCTGACAAAGAACAGCAGGGCCATATTGACTCAGGTGAGCGTTGTGGCCCATGGGCCTCTTGTTTGTAGATACATGTCCAAAAAACGCCTTCCAGTGTTCCGGCTCGGAGTGCATAAGTACCGATAAAATATGTGACAAACATAGCGATTGTTTCCTCGGTGATGACGAATCATTGTGTTGTAAGAATTAATAGTTATTATCTTGTTATATGAACAGAATTACTGACCTTTTCAAGAATTGACTAGCATTATAACGAAGAATTCCCTTTACATGAAAAATTAGTGTTACCTTCCTATATACAATTCTTCAGTCGTTAAATTAAATAGACATAACTTATACACAATGATTTAGTTTTATTTTATCCTGATTTTTATTTTGTAGACTACAATTCCTCCAAAATAAACAGTAGCAATGTGTTAATTCCCGAACACAAAACAAATGCCAGTTTTCCCCAAGAACAGAATAAATCTTCAGACGGTGAAATTGATGTGAAATGTTGTGGGAATATTTCTGATGAACACATTTGTGGCCTTGTCTCAGCTATGCTAAGTGGTAAATGTTTACAGCAGAGTCAAAAGAAAAGATTGAAAAGTTCTCAACTTTCTAATTCAAACTCGTCACTAGCTGAACTTTGCTCGCGCTACAACAATTCTGTACAGATGGTTTGCATTGGTTGTTTTCTGGAAACCGCTGGTAATAACATAATTTGTTGGTTACCCTATTCTTTTAATTCAAACGAAACGTCTTTGGCCAACTCGTCATTATGCCTTCAAAATCTGACGGATCCTAATGACTGCGACAGTTCACATAGCAGTTACTCAAAGATGGTTAATATATGCTCAGAACTTGCAAACAACAAACGCGTTTCAGTTCTGTGTACACAAAGTCCACTGTCCCCTAACGTCAGTGAAATTTTATCGGGTTTGTACATAAATGAGTACAACTTAACATGCCCTCAATATGAAACAACAGGACTTATCATCTATGAAAACTGTGTGCAGCCTTTTAATACGTCATCATGGAATCCCAACATATGCTGTACACTGAAAGAGGGAACATCACAGACTGAGTTACCCATTCTAGATAGTGAGACAAGTCGTAATGAATGCTATGATAGAAACGTTACCTCGGAATGTGTAATAGGTTGTAACAAAACTTCATTCAATGGAATCACATGTGTAGAATCTTCTGGTCGAGATCTTTCCTCAGACTGCAGTGAACTAAATAAAGAAAGATCTGTAAGCTGTTCTCCTTTTTGTCCCCCTGGGTGTAACTGTTCAGAAGAAAGTATTCTCTGCGAGAGAGGAGGGTGTCACGCTTTCACAGAAAGAATCGTACTACGTAACGTTGAATGCAGAAATTTCGAGATGGATGACGTCCAAAACATTCTTTCCTTAAAAAGTAGACAAATTTTTAAACTTGAAATCCATAATTCAAGAATTACAAATTTAAAAATACTAGCGTATTTTCAACATTTTATCCACAGGATCACTATTGAGAATAGTATCTTTAATAAGATTCATATTGAATCTTTTGTTAATAATGCTCTTCAATCATTTCTCACCCTTGATCTCTACAACACGACTTTATCGATCTTTAAATTCAAAGATTTTCCATATCTCGTTCTAAATTCTTCTAACAAATCATCCAATCATTTTGCCAGAATGGTTATTCAATCCACTCCCATGACTTTGGACATGTCTGGGAATGAGTTAGGGCATTTGAACTTTGATTATACTTTCGCCAGTTATTTTATTATCCCTGATATGGTAAACCTCAGTCGCAATGCTTTAACGGAAGTTCGTCCCATTTGGACATGGGTTCTGGATTTAAGTCACAATAACCTCGCTTTTTACTCACACTACACTATTCATTTAGAAGTCCTCTATTTAAATAATAACCGTCTTCAGTCAGCCAGAAGGGTAGAAAACTACGATCCAAATGGAGACGATCACCTAAGAATACTAGATTTATCATATAATAATATAACAGCCATCAACACTGGAGACCTTCTGTCTTCCTATTTGATATTTCTGAATCTGTCCAGAAATCATATCCAAACTATACAGGCAGGAGCTTTTCGCCGAACTATCCACATCGCCACCCTAGATCTGTCGTTTAACAAGATCTCTCAAATCTTTGAGGGAACTTTTTTGCCTCTAAAGGACCTTGAAGAGTTATTTTTGCATGGCAATTCCTTCCAGGTTTTCGATGGAATGTTTACTGGGCTTTTCAATTTAAGAATCTTGAGAGTTAGTTTTTATACAATTTGTTGTGCAATACCAAACAGCAGGTATGCTGTGGAATGCATCGCACCCTTGAATGAAATTTCGTCATGCGAACATTTGATCGCTGTACCAGTCCTTAATGTTGCTGTATGGTACATTGCATTGGTGGCTGCGTTTGGAAATCTAAATGTCCTGCTGTACAATATTGGTCATTTCAGAAGCAATAAAGCCGGAGCATACTATCTTCTGACGATGAGTTTAAGTTGTGCCGACTTCTTGATGGGAGTGTACTTATATATAATTGCTATCACAAACCTGCATTATTCTGGACAATATGGTCTGAATGATTATGATTGGAGGCACAGCGCTACCTGTACCTTTTCCGGAATAATTGCCACTCTTTCAAGCGAAGTATCTGCCTTTATTGTTTTGCTGATCACTCTTGACAGATTTCTTGCAATCAAATTTCCTTTCTCGGATTTCAAATTTACCATAAAGAGAGCGGCTTTTGTAATGGTGACTGTGTGGTCTTTTTCCCTGATCATGGCTCTGATTCCTCTTCTTCCAGTCACAGATCTGGATAATTTCTACGCACAGTCTGGTATCTGTGTTTCTCTTCCCCTCTCTGTAATCAGAAAATCTGGATGGGAATACTCAATGATTGTGTTTGTTGGCATCAACTTTATACTTTTTCTGGGTATTCTTGTTGGGCAGATTTTAATATTTGTGGAAGTGGCCAGTGTGGGAAAGTCAGTGAAGTCGACCAAAACAAGCCAGAGGGAAGCTTCGTTGGCGATGACACTGTTTGCGATTGTTCTGACTGACGTGTTCTGTTGGATACCTATTGGAGCCATAGGCAAGTAAAATGCAACATAGGCAAGTAACATTCAACATAGACAAGTAACATACAACATAGGCAAGTAACATACAACATAGACAAGTAACATACATCATAGAAGAGTTACATACAACATAGGCAAATAACATACAACATAGGCAAGTAACATACATCATAGGCAAGTAACATACAACATAGGCAAATAACATACATCGTAGGCAAGTAATATACATCATAGGCAAATAACATACATCATAGGCAAGTAACATACAACATAGACAAGTAACGTACAGCATAGGCAAGGAACATACATCAGCAATTTTAGAAAATTTCGACTTTGAATTTCTTCCAAAAATATTTAAACGAAAAAATGTTAGAGAATTTTTGAGTCGAGTTTTTTTAATTTGAACTTATGCTATTTTTTTTTTTTTGGTCTGTCGTAATGCCTGTAAATTTTTCATTAAAATAAGGCTAATGACTACAAATCTGTCTTGACTATGATCATACTTGTGGTAATATGTGAAATTTAAAGTCGATGGGCAATATCAAATTGTGTCCACTCTTTGAAACCTTTTAGTGGAATGTGTTTAAACTTGAGTATTTCTTGCTCATTACATAAGAGGTTTCATAATTTTGACTCAAGGTCACTAGTCACCTCGTATCTTTAAGGTCAAATTCGTATCATTTAAATCAAATGTTGAATACCAGATGTATTTCTTGTATTAGTATATGCATTAGAGTGAGGAGAGAAATCTATCTTTGTTAAGAAAACTACTTTTTCTAGATATTTATACTTTATAAGTTATAAGATTAATCCATCTATTTTTTTAATGTTGATAAGTTCTCTCTCAGGAATGCTGACATTTTTTGGGATCGAGGTAAAACCTGATGTCTATGCATGGATAGTCGTTGTTGTTCTGCCGATTAACTCCGCCTTAAATCCGATACTGTATACTGTCACTGGCGTCATCAGAAATAAGGTAACTACGCCTTAAACCTATTTCGCATATTGGCACTGCCGTCATTAGAAATAAGATAACTAAGATCTAAATCCAATACTGTATACTGTCACTGACGTCATTAGAAATAAGGTAAGTAAGACCTAAATCCAATACTGTATACTGTCACTGACGTCATTAGAAATAAAGTAACTACGCCTCAAACCCGATACTGTATACTGTCAATGACGTCATCGGAATAAAGGTAAATTCGTAGGGGATCAAAATTAAACATAGGCAGATATAGGAGGTCTTTAAGAAAATCTGTTTCCGAGGAACAGCTAAGCCATGATGAGTCATATTTATTCGGAAGCGTCTGCAGAGAACGATTATAGGCATGCCTGCTGTTCAATCCATTTCATTTGTAATGAATAAATATATTTTAGACTGAAGCGTCTGCAGGTAGTGTAGATTCAATTTTGTTCAAACCATGAACATGGGAGTAGGGTCGGACCACATTTTAAGATATGAATACTTAGGGAAAATCTTTTAAGATCTTCTTCGAAGAACAGCAAGCAATGATTGGTCATATTTATATAGAAGCATCCTCAGTAGATTAGACTGAAGTCATGGCACAAGATGGAACACTGACTTTAAACTTGGCTTAAGGACGGCTTATAGGGCTTTAAGTTTGATTTAAGATCGTCTTAAGCACTTTAAGCTACCTTTACACCATCGTTGGCTGCCATTAATCCATCTCTAACTCCTTAATGGGTGATAAAAAGTAGCTGTATGGTGGCTCAAAGATGGAATATAGGTGCATAAAGGTGGCTTCTGGACAGTCCTTAAATTGCCATTAAAGCTTAATTAAACTTTTTATACTCAAAGAAAATTAATCCGATTGAGAGAGATAACTGTATTCAATTATGCCAAAACAAGGTACGTGCAATCTAAAGTCTAAGTTTGATTTCCAAAATATTCAAAATCGTCATTTAATTTTAGGAGAAAAGAACTCTATCTTAGAGTATTTTTTAATGAAATTCAGAGCGAATTCCCACATACGAAAGAAAAATACAAGGTGAAATAATTTTTTTTTTAAAAAATTTACACTGAAAATGTTTATGGATAAAAATACTTTTTTAAAAAGCGAAAGTTTTAAGGTAAATTACAGAAGCAGTTTCAGGGCATTACGTGGTTGGGTTAATGGCGTCTTAAAAGAGTTTGGACAAATAAGCTGCAGATTAGAGCTTAAAGAAATAAACATCTTTAAGTCCCCTATAAGCCGGCTTAAATCTGTCTTATAGAGAATGCTTTAAGCACACCTGTCTACCCTTTTTATTGCAAGGATGTAATTTCAATACTCATTTTTTGTGGAATTTCAGAGGTAGAGTTACATTTTTGTTTGGAGAACTTTGAAATAAGCAGCTCCAAATAAATTGTTTAATGAATATGTCTACCACCGTATGAAATACTTAATAATATGAGATTCCTTTTTATATGTATTTCTTTATTTAGAGAAGACAAGAGGGAGAAAGCATTGCAAAGCTCAAGAAGCAACTATTCCAATTAAAGGTAATGTATCTAATTGAAGAAATCGGCAAATTTTCTGTTCATGAATAATTTTAGAAAGTGTATCTTATTTATTCATAGCCGCTAAATTGTTACGAAGAGGGTTTTTGGGAAGAAACAGTTTGTCCTTTATTTGAACTAAAATATTTCTATATATACTAGCTGGTAATTAAGCACTGACCTCTGGAAATTCCAGAGGTGGATTAGGTGCCTAGTAGGCGCAAGCATCCCTCGTTGACCGGTCACACCCGCCGTGAGCCCTATGTATTGATCAGGTAGACGGAACATTCCGTAGCCAAGTTTAGTATAAAAACAATGGCCTAAAAACTGGTAATGAAACATGTCAGTGAAAATATGACCAAGTGATACGTTATATTTGCTAACAATGTCATTATAACGACCATAGATTTTTCGAAATGCTGACTTAAAACGAGGTTGTTGAAATCCCTGTAACATCAACTTATCTGTCAGAACCTACTTCGGTCCAAAAATTCATGGTACTTTGAGGATGTTTTTCAGTACAAATAAGACACCATCTGCAGATGATAGAGGGATATTACTACATAAATTAGGAATGTTGACGATAGAAAAGCTGAAGTAATCTCGTTTGTCATATAATTAGTTTGCCCTTATCGTCTGTAGTCAGTAAAATATCAAGATATGAAACAAATGTGGCAGACTCTGTGGTGTCTTTTATTTCAAGTTCACTGGGATATATAGAGTCGACATATGGATAGAAGGAACTATTGTTAATTGATAATATGTCGTTGATATATTTAATGTTGAGTTGAAGGCCACAACAAGTGTTTTAGAAGGTTATGAGTACATTCTGCTTCATATGAGTATAAAAACAGGTCGGTTAATAAAGGAGCGTTTAGTGCAAATAATATACTAACTTTTTTATGTTCACTAAAATATGCTTAAGAGTTTTTTAAATTAACTTTAGCAAAATAATGAAATATTTGACTTCATAAGAGAAATATGTCCATTTGTTTACTAGACATCACCGTTCGTTATTTTTATCGTTGGATTTTGAAAACGAATGGCATGGACACACTTTAATTGTATTTTGTTTACTGATTTAATTTTTTTTATTGTAAAAATGACTTTATTTTAATAATTTGAAAAAAAATTATTTTAATTACAACGTTATTCTTTGTATCCATATCCATTCTTTGTTTACATAAAACGCCTGTTTTTGTAAACAAGGGCACGAGCTCTGTTACGGTATTTGTATACGTTTAACTGAGTATGTTCAATTTGCTAACATTTCACACATCACTGAACACAAAGATTTAAATTTGCTTACATTGCACACATCACTGAACACATTCAGGCTACACAAGTGTTTTAGTTTTGCTTTTTCTCATTTCTTTCCCGAATTTTCTTGATTGTAGTTTTAATAAATCTTTTAATACATCACAAATTTCCCGCTTTTTTTAAATATAGTGGATAAATTTTAGTTTGTGAAAGTGCACAGATGTATGACAATCAAACACGAAACAAAATCATAGATCTTAACCTTTTCAGATAGAAGAATTTTCGTACACGCTTTCATGATATATCTCGTAATATGTAAAACATACAATTCTATCGAAACTTCAAAAATGTGTCCATGCCTCTTTAATGTAGCAAAGTTAAATTCAAGTTTGCTAACGACAGTTCTTTGAATTGTTATTTACTTTTATATTAGGCCAAAGCTGACAACACGGACCACAGAGTAGTCGGTCCTTTACCAGATGTCGCCTCTATCAGTTATGATGTCGATAACAGTTCCGCAGGTGTAAAAACAACGATAGAAACAACGATGGAATAGCCCGGTTGAATAGATCAGTGTCCCCAGAGAGAGTGTCGTTTTTTTTTCCTTCCTGAGCTTTCAGATGACAAAGGAACATATTTTACATTTTTCTTTATTAAATGTATGTAAACAAAAATGTATAGGATATCATATGAACATTTGAACATGCTTATTTATATCCTCAAATACGCCAAGAAACAATATGTACATGTACAACAACCGTTGAGATTCTAGGTAGATCACGGACCCGATCTTCTCACGCATGCTGTTTTACGCTTACTCCTGGATGGTTCACTCAAAGACTCTGGATACATGGACTAGACATGCTAGATTTACCTTCTACTACTACACAACCTTACCGTTTGATGTAAATGTTAATAAATGTAAAAGGGTCAGATTAACATAAACACGATGGGCTCCTGCGACTCAGAACTTTATATATATTTTTAAGCAAAAGTCCCATTTCTTTTAAAACTGTACGTTATATAATTCTAAATTCTGTATCAGTTTTTGAAGAGAATTTTCTCTCGAAGTTAAAATTTAAAGAACGATATCAGTGTTTGGAGATGAAGCTCAGAATAAATTCTTACTTATGCTTCCCAGGACTTTTAAAAGAAATAATCGTTCTCTTGGTACAATTAACATAACCAGGGGATGCTTATTCCTCTTAAGCACCTGATCCATCCTTTGATGTTTCATGCAGGGGTCGGTGT